TAGGTGAGAAATTTGCTCTTTCACACTAAGTCATCATTTAATTTCATTAGTCTACTGTAAGGAAACTGTCTCTTAGCTGCTCGTTGTCGTGTTCTCTGTCTTGTGACAATTCTAAGAAAATGAGGCCAACAAAAGCACTTGCGGAAATAAGTAAAAAAAATCCTGATACCATTATTTTCCATCAGTGAGCCAATGTAGTTCTTTTTTTTTTCCCCCATTAAGCTGATCTAAGTTTTTTGTTTTTGTTTTTGTTTTTTGAGACAGCCTCACTCTGTTACCCAGGCTGGAGTGCAATGGCATGATCTCGACTCACTGCCACCTCCACCTCCTGGGTTCAAGCCATTCTCCTGTCTCAGCCTCCTGAGTAGCTGGGACTACAGGCGTGCACCACTATGCCTGGCTAATTTAGAGGGTTTCACCATATCAGTCAGGCTGGTCTTGAACTCCTGACCTCAAATGATCCCCCGCCTTGGCCTCCCAAATTGCTAGGATTACAGGCATGAGCCACAGCACTCTGCCCGATCTGAGTTGATTCCTGTTGCTTGCAACCTGAAGTCCTAATTAACAGTACATGTAAGACCTTCCATGATCTGACAGCATTTTTCTCTTCAGCCTTTCCTAGAAATATACTCTTCAGGCCTGTTCAACAGCCCCACATATACTTACTGCATCTAAGATTCATTTTAAGTATAACTTATTTAAAACATTTCCACATCACTTCCATTCTCAATCCTCCTAAAATTAACCACTTCTTTTTTTTGTAACCCACTGTTCTCCCTAGAGTGTCCAGAACTCTTTACTGCAGGCGCTTGCTCAGTTTCTTCTCCAGTATACTGTTAGTTCCCAGGAACTATGCATATACATTTTTTTGTAGTCTCAACACCTAATACATTGCCTGGAACAAGCTAGGGATGCAAATATTTGTCAAAATTCTAAACTGATAATTTCATGACCCACACAGAGCTTCTTTTTCTATCACACTTGTAGCAAATTACATTAATGACCCCAGTTCTTCACTTCTCCCTATATCCACAGCTTGCAATGTAATTTGGCAGTGCTCTTCTGCTACAGGCAAGAGACATAATTCCCTACCCTTCTGCTCAGCCATCTAACTTACTTTGGCCAAATGGATGTTAGCAGATGTGCAGCAAGTGGAGTCTCAGAAAAGCTTGTGCAATTAGGATGACTGACTCGTGCTTCCACCATCATCATGAAAATTATATACCCAAAGTGGCCCACTGGTCCCAGAAGATAAGAAACAAGTAGAGCACAGCTGCCTCAACTAAGCTACCCAGACAAGCCCAGCCTGGAGGTGAGTCCTCAGACAACCTGTAGAAACATGAATGAGCCCAGCCAGGACCATACTACCCGAAGCTTGAAACTCCTGAGCTAAATAAAAACTATTATTTTTGTTGTTGGTTGTTGCACACTATTACTGTGGCTATAGTTAACCGATATGCACTCTGTCTAAAGGAGACCCTTTCCCTGTATTTCTCTGTTAGTAGTAAGAAGTCTTCAAAACTGGTTTGATATTGTCACTATACGATACACAGAAGTCTTACAAGAAATCTTGAGACCACTGCTAGGGTTGTAGTATGCATATATGTGATTTTTACAGTCCAGCAGAACACTTTCTTGCTGGGTCCTGGGGCATTATAAGAAGTTTAAAAGAAGTGTAAGGATTTTGAGTTCTAAACAACTTTATAAATATCCTTCAGGATTACCCCCCACCCCATGGGCATTTTTTCCCCAGTAGAAATAAAACTTAATTACTTTTTCCCCCCTTTTGTTTGTTTTTGTAAAGGCAATTACTATTAAAGAACATGGTAGCCTTGTAGTGTCTTTGGAAGAAATGCTTGCTAAACATTTATGTGGCCATCATTTTGCTAGGCTTTTACATGAATCTTCAATTATTCATCTGTCATATGAAGTCCCACTGTACAGATGACTAAACTAAGGCTAAGGTTAAGCAACTTGCCTTAATTCATTACTAAGTGGTGGAAATGCTATTGGAATGTATGACTTCTGAACGCCAAAGTCAGTGCTCCTTCACTATTTTATACTGCACCTTTGATTGCTATTACTACTGAAAATTTTAAATAATACAGAAATAAGTGAACATTTATTGAATGTATTAGTTCCTTTGAGGACACGGGAAGGAAAAAAATGTCATTCAATGGCTTAAAACCACTTTCTTTTGATCCATGTCATGCTTATATGGCACTAGTAGCCACTGTAGTTGCTATTTTGATAAAGAGGCTACTACAAATTGATATTTTTCTTCATATTGATATCCAGTTTTGGCAACATCATTGATTAAATACTGCTATCTTCTCCACTGTTTAGTTACTACTGACTTATACAGATTTGACTTCTTTCAGTTTCTTCACCTGTGTAATACCTACCTCATAATGAGGATAAACTATGCATATACAACTAGAAAAGAGTAAGTGATTAATGCAGGCTGTCTAGTTGTTTTTTGCATTGTTACTTGGTTTAAATCGTTGCAAACTGTTGTGTTAAATGTTGCTATATACCTTGAAATCTGATGATCACAGCCATTTGAACATTTTATTTTTCTGAGTTATCACATGTCCAGGAATTCCAAGGTCAGGTTTTAAGCCCCAACATCTCATTTTAAGCCTAGGACCAACATCAGACTATCTACTTTACAAAAGGGCTTTAGGCAACTTTCTCCTGTTTACAGCTTCCATTACCCACCTTATTCTAAAGACTATTTTACCCCTTAAGGAAGCTCAAATATGATATAATCAAGTCAAAATAACAAGTACATATCACCTGTAAAGTCTTCCTACAAACAGTTTTAATCTCAATGGAAACGACTTTCAATTTATAGGAAATAGGTGGTGCAGGCCGACTCCAAGATAGCCCCCAGTGATCCCTCCCCTAATGGTATTCACTGCCTTGCATAATCCATTCCCTTTGATTAACTTCCAACCAATACAATACCTTGATGTTGAGATGTCACTTCTGTGATTAGATTATAAAGATTCCAACTTTGGTCCTGCCAGCAGACTCCCCCTTGTTGGCTTTGATGAAGCAACTTGCCACACTGGGGAGGCCCATATAGCAAAAATCAGAGAGGGCAGTCTCTGGCCAACAGCTACCTAGGAATTGAGGTCCTCAGTCCAACCCCAAAAGAACTAAACACCAACGATATGAGCTTGAAAATGAAACCTTCCTCAGTGGAGCCTTTTGATGAGACACCAGCTTTGGCTGATACTTTACAGCCTCAAGAGGATCCACCTAAGCTGTGTTAGGATTCCTGAACCACAGGACATTTGAGATAATGTGTGCTATTTTAACCCACCAAGTTTTGGAGTAATTTATTAAGCAGCAATAGATAACCAATATCAAAGTCTTGTAGAAAAATATTTTACAAACACAAAATGTGAGGTGCTTCACATGCTGGAGTGCCCTAAAAATTTCAAAAAGTCAATGATAGTTTTAAAATATGAAAGACTATTCTAGATTAAGAAGTCAAAGAAGCATATAACTAAATAACTATTAATAGATACAATACACAAACCTTGAATTTAGATCTTTTTAAAGCAGAAGTTATAAAAGGCATTCTTAGAGCAATGAGGAAATTTGAAATATGGATTAGATATTAGATATTATGAAATTACTAATTTCCTTAAGTGTGATATTATCGGTGACAAATTATATTAAGAATGCCCTAATTCTTATAAGATGCATAATGAAGTATCCAGTTGATAAGCATTTAAGTAATTTCAAAAGAAAGTATAAACTATGGAGATGAAGCAAATCTGGCAAAATGTTAATAACTGTGGAATCTAGTTAACAAGTCCATGAATGTTCACTGTACTTTTCTTTCAATTTTTTGGTTTGTTTTGAGACAAAGTCTTGCTCTGTCAACACCCAGGCTGCAGTGCAGTGGCACTATCATGGCTCACTGCAACCCTGACCTCCCAGGCTCAAGTGATCCTCCCACCTCAGCCTTCTGAGTAGCTGGGATTACAGACACGCAACATCATGTCTGGCTAATTTTTAATTTTTTTGTAGAGATGCGATCTCGCTTTGTTGCCCAGGCTGGTCTTGAACTCTGGGTTCAAACGATGCTTCCACCTCGGCCTCCCAAAATGCTGGGATTACAAGTGTGAGCCACTGCACCCAGCCTCTTTAAATTTTTATGTATGAATATTTTTATTTAAAAATTGAAGGAAAACTCATGAAAAAATGCTATTAAAGTCTTCAAAACTATTTATAATCACAACTATACTGCATATAATTTCTACAGAAAATAATGCATTAGCGATTAGAATAGTTTTTTAAAAATAGATTGAATAACACTTTAAAAGTCTGGAATTTATCTAAGACTTTCAGGAAGGATGATACATCACAAATGGTCTTTTATGCATTTTATCATTTCCTAATAAAATAACCATAACATACAAAGTGGTAACTGCTAAGGAACCTACCTCCCACTCTTATCCTCAGAATTATCTCTGTAAAGAATCCATTTTTACCTATGCTTCTTCCATCACTTAAGAAGATTATGAGGTAGATAATAAATTTCATTGCATTGCTATTTAGTTATAAATTCAGCTAGTCATATAAATAGTAACATACTCATCTAAAGGAACCTAATGCCAGAAAGAAGGTAATAGTTATGAAATGGAGACAATAATAACTTAACTCTTTTGTAGGCAATGGGGTTTCAAATGCAATATGAAGTACATTAATTCCAAGAGTTGTACCACTAGAGGTGAGATGGCAATGTAAATAGTCTAAAAAATGTACACTATCTTGATCTACCGATTCCATGTATAAAATGTTCTTAGGGAACTAGTAAGACTCTTGTGAGATTTGTCGTATCTTTGCTTGATAGCTGAAAATTGGAAACAGTGCCAGTTAGTAAGAAATGGGTATTATCCATATGATAGAATATTATATTTATTAATGTGGAGCTCTTGGTACCAAATATAAGTTTAAAAATCAGGTTATCAAAGAGTATGTATGATACAATGCTTTTTTAACAAAATAAAACACATTTACATACATAGTCACTATGCCACAAGATGTTACGAATAGTTTTCTCTAGATAGTGGCCTTACAGGCAATTTTTATTTGGGGGGTGTGTGTGTATGTTTTACTCAGTAAATGTTTATTACTTTTGTATTCAGAAAAAACATTAATAGAATCATAGGAAAGTTTAACTAAAAAAGAAAATATCATATTATTTAACATATCCTTGAAGTGAGATTGCTTCCTTTTGCTAAGCTATATTTTGTAATCTCCACAACAAACATTAAATAGTAAAATAAAAGTTGATATAAAAAAACTTGCACAGTAATAGGAAGCAGTGTTTACATTCTGCTGCTCCTTACATTTTGAAAAGGGAACTCATAATCTTAACCGAGACTATTTCTTATCATTATTCAAAAGTACCTACTTTTCCTAAATATTGCAAATAAATTATTTGTACTTATTAACTGAATGCTAGACTGGACTTATTAACAAGAAAGCAGTGTATTGTAAAGGAACCAGTCAGACTTGGGTTAAATTCCTAATTTTGCCATTTAACTTTGACATAACCACCTAAACCCAATCAATAAAAAGAAAAGTATAGGTTATGTAACTGAGCCAGTGAACAGAATATTTAAAGTCCAGGTACACACCAGGAAGTTGCAATTTAATACTCAGCAAAGTACATATCCCCTTCTATTTACATTTTACTCATTTCCTTTTGATATTCCAGAAGTTTTTACTTAGATTATTCTAGACAATTAGAACCTTTTCTTGCCCATTTGGGGAAGAATTATTCTTCTGAGGCTGTAATTTGGCATTAAGCCAGGAAATTCATGGTTCTTTATACCATGAATATTGAGAATGTTGCTCACTGTATTTGGCAATGTCTTCTTTATGAAAAGATCTTTCCCACTTTTGAAAATAGAATAGTTATGCCTCTCTCAGGAAATTGGGTTACCTCAGACACAATAAATTGTGTAATTAATGTGATGGTTTCTTCTTTGTGTTAATTGCTAGGATGTTCACACACATCTGTGACCTCCTCTCTAGAAAGTATAGCATGGCATGTACTTTGAGTAGTTAACTCCCTCTTGGCTTCACTTTTTTTTTCTCTCTTACATGATTCATCCTATTATGTCTACTTCTGAAAGCAGGGATAATACTCGCCCTCATTTAAAAGGGTTTTAAGGATTAAATATCAGTGTGTCTACTATACTGCCTGGACAACATAGAGGGCTCAAAAATAGTAATTTCACATGACAGGTTCTAGACTTTCAAATAACACAGTTTGACGTACTCTTGCTTATGTAATCACTTGATAAAATTCAACATGTTCCAAACTCCCTTTGAAATAATGGAAAATGACAAAAATAAATAGTCAAATATCAGAACTAGAATGAAAAATGAAGTTACCTCAAACAGTGAAGGGCAAAAGAAACTGGATCTAAGCCTGGAGTTAAATTGAGACCTCGTCTGTCTGAACTGACAGATGACTAACATAGTTTACCAACTGGCTTTTTCTTCATCTAAAAATAAGCCATTTAACAAATATATTTTAGGATTTATAACTGACAAATCAAGAAATTATCTTATATTGTTTTAATATATGAATAATTTATAAATTATTTTATAAATATAATTTAAAAATTTTAAAAATAGTTACCCTAAAACAAGACCTTGAAATGTATCAGTGCTGTTTGACAAACCTAGCAATGAAGATGGAGAAGTTAAATAAAAGATAATTGACAACAATTAACAGTTTGGTGTACATAATAAAAGCAAATTATATGAGTAACAGCCCTTATCTTCTCCTTAGTGGCTAAGGGGAAGATGTCATTGTCATTGTGTTGTTGCTGATTATAGCTCTTTTTAAATTTGTTTTCATACTCTTGAAAACCTACCCAAATTACACAGGAAAATCTCACAGTTCAGCAGTGCAAAAATTTTATTTCTTTGTTTCCCCTCCCCACCACTTTACAAGATGTAAAATTTTACTTAATCCACAGTATTCTCTTTTTTAATCATCTGTTATCAGTCATGTCAAATGTGAGGAAAAAAACACTAATCAATTCAAAATATCCGTCCCCCTTCCCCACTGCTACAGCAAATTTAGGATAAATCTACAGCATTCACTTACTTTAGCTGGTTCTGATACTGAGGAATACTTTTTTATTTGAGAATCAACACCTAAAGACTTGGCTAATTGTACAGCATTTGAATCATCACTGATAAGTGTTCCAAGAGCCACAAGAAGTCTAAAAGTGGCTTCCAAGTCTTGTACTACTTCCAAGATTGTGCTAATTAGTGACAAACACTGAGCTTTCCCTTCAATGTTATGGTCTTTATGAAAACAAACAGAATAGTTCAGGGCCAATGTAGCCAGAGCAATGTGAATGTTCTTATTGCTCCCTGATTTCAGTTCTATCGCATGGGACATCAGTGATTCCCTCTGGGACATCATGAGTTTTTGTCCTGCCTGGCCAATAAAACAATTGCAAAAAGTCCTGAGAGCAAGCAGCTGGTTTGCTGGCTTTCCTTTAGGGTTCAGAAGATTGATAAGATGACTGCTGAACTGAGTCCCTTCCTTTTCATTGCAGAAGTTCTCATTCACACTGGGGTGTTTAATTGACAACCGAAGAATGTCAAGTGCAGGAAAGACAATATCTATTAAAAAAAAAAGTCATTAATGCTTATGAAAATAAAGAAAATTTCTTTTGACTATCAACTTTTAAGGATTTTATGTTCCCACTACAAAATTAACCATTTTAGAAAATGTGAAAAATCATGTGTCAGCTTTTAAAAAATGCACATATTTCTGAAACTTTTGTTAATTTTCCATAATTTTATATAAACTAGATTAATTATTGTAAGATCATATTCACTTTAAAATAAGGTAACTCTCTCAGGTTATCAAATAGCCTACACACTGTGAGTATTCAAAAATGAATGGAAAGAACAGGGCACAGACCTTGCTTTTAAAACTTCTGAAGACCGAACAATTAAATGGGAAATTCTTTTTTTTTTGAGACAGAGTTTCACTCTTGTTGCCCAGGCTGGATTGCAATGGCGTGATCTTGGCTTGCTGCAACCTCCACCTCCCGGGTTCAAGCAATTCTCCTGTCTCAGCCTCCCAAGTAGCTGGGATTACAGGTGCATGTCGCCACATCTGGCTAATTTTTGTATTTTTAGTAGAGACGAGGTTTCATCATATTGGTCAGGTTGGTCTCAAACTCCTGACCTCAGGTAATCCACCCACCTTGGCCTCCCAAAGTGCTGGGATTACAGGCGTGGGCCACCGAGCCCAGCCAGAAAGTTCTTAAGAATTCCAGTTAACAAGTGATAGGATGCTTATAGGTTGGTGGGAGCTTTATAATCAAGGACTTGGGTAGATGCCATCTGAATGAATGCACAAAGTAATCTTAGCATCACCAAAGGTGAGAAAATCCAACATTATGTGCTCCATAATATAAAAGTAGTATGCATCATCATTTATAAAGAATTTTACCTAAAAAAAACTCCTACTGAACCAGAATCTAATTTTGCCACTAGCAATAAATACAGAGATGGAGGAACACATCAGCAAAATCCATAATATGGGACATTTTATTGAAAAAAAAAAAAAAAAAGGCTTTTTCTGCAATAAATCAATGGCATGAAAAAAACAAAAACAAAAACAAAAAACGGGCAAGGACTCTTTGGGAATCAAAAAAGATTTAACTGACATAATTGGGAAAAAGAAACACCAAACTTATAGTGCATGTTTATAGCCTAGGGTTAACAGGTCACTAAGAGTATCTTGGATGCCTGGCAGGGAATCCACAAATGCTCTCCAACAGTAAACAAACTGGTGCATATATGGGGATCATTATATTACCTTCAGAATCTCATAAGGCATGTAACGAAAACAAGATTATCAATTCCAGTAGTGTAGTGAACCCTTTTCGTGAAGATTTTCCATAGTGAACTAGAACTACCCAAGTTAACTTTTATTTAATCTACAAATACCAGTAATATTGATAGAAATGAAGATAAAATTTCTTGCTTTCTGGTTATGTTTTTGAAGCGTGTTTATTTACCTTCAGGCCAGTTAATAGCTTTCCACAAAATCTGAAGTTGCTGGACTGTGGGTTTTTCTGAAGAACTGTTACATATTAGAGACAGTATCTTCTCAAGTAGTATCAAGTCATCCTCAGTTAACTTCTTCTCTTCAGGTGCAGTTCCATTAAGTTCCTTCAGTTTACCTAAAACCCAAAACCAAACTTTCAAAATTCCCTCACTGTAATTGGCCAGATAATATATAAATGTCAAGACTTTCAATAAAAGTACTCTAGTGTACACCATGGGGATTTAAGATGTTTCTCAGCAATGATCACAATCATCAAAAACCATAAAGTAAGGATAAGGCTTGTGAGCTTTGTCTTTTTTTTTTCTTTGAGACGGAGTGTTGCTCAGTCACCCAGGCTGGAGTGCAGTGGTGTGATCTCGGCTCACTGCAAGCTCCACCTCCCGGGTTCAAGCAATTCTCCTGCCTCAGTTTCCCAAGTAGCTGGGATTACAGGCGCCTGCCACCACGCCCAGCTAATTTTTTGTGTTTTTAGTGGAGACAGGGTTTCACTGTGTTAGCCAGGATGGTCTCGATCTCCTGACCTCATGATCCACCCCCCTCAGACTCTCGAAGTGCTGAGATTACAGGCGTGAGCCATCACACCCAGCCCTGTTTTTTCTGTTGTTGTTTTTTTGAGACAGAATCTCACTCTGTTGCCCAGGCTGGAGTGCAGTGGCTTGATCTTGGCTCACTGCAACCTCTGCCATCGGGATTCAAGCGATCCTCCTGCTCCCGCCTCCCAAGTAGCTGGGACTACCAGCATGAACCACCACACCAGTAAATTTTTGCATTCTTAGTAGAGATGGGGTTTCACTATGTTGGCCAGGCTGACCACCATGGTGACCAACTCCTGACCTCAAGCGACCCGCCTGCCCTGAACTCCCAAACTGCTGGGATTACAGGCATGAGCCACCACATCCAGCCTCCATTTTGAATGACTTTCAAAGAAATATGTGTAATATATATTCAAGTATAAGTCAATAACCTAGTTTCTCCATGAGAAAATTTATAACAACTTTTTAGCCAATTTATGTCAACTTCTACAGTTGTCAACGAAATAGTCAAAGAGTTAAATGCCTACTGATAACATTTAATTTATGACTTAGTTCCATACGCATATCTGACATCACATTATTTTAAAAATTTATTTAATGGACATACTGCCCTTTCTTCCCATGTTCACATTTCATGAAACAATTTCCTTCAAATCCTTCACATGTATCTTTAGTATCAGTATCCTTTTTATGACTTTGAGTTACTGTGTTTCTTTAAAAATCTTTATCTCAAGAATAAAAAAGTCCAAATTCCGATAATAAAGGTAAATTATCCAAATTTACACCATTGAAATCAATTATAAATGGAAACTAGGGCCTGTTTCACTAATCTCAGGTATTAACAACTTTAACTCTAATAAACAAAAATCAAGTTTATTAAGGAATGCAAATATCAAGATACCTGTTAGATTTTCACGAGTTTTTAAAAAACATCTAAAAGTGTGCATATACTACATTATTCAAAATAAAGCAATTAAGAAAACATTAATGAGTGATTTTTATAAATTTTTACAATACTGACCCTGCCTTATACTCTGGTAAGTATGTTATGTTATGTTATCCCAATTAATTCTCATCATAATCTTTGTGGCGAACAAGCTAACAGTACCCTTAGTCCAAAACAACAACAACAACAAAACACTGTTATTTTGTTTTGAGGAACACAAACAGAAAAAGCAATCAAAGTGGCTAAAGCAGATTCATTTCTTTTTTTTTTTTCTTGAGACGGAGTCTTGCTCTGTTGCCCAGGCTGGAGTGCAGTGGCACGATCTCGGGCTCACTGCAACTGCGCCACCTCCCAAGTTCAAGTGATTCTTGTGCCAGAGTAGCTGTGATTACAGGCGCCCACCTCCATGTCCAGCTAATTTTTGTATTTTTAGTAGAGATAGGGTTTCACCATGTTAGCCAGGCTAGTCTTGAATTCCTGACCTCAGGCAGTTCACCCACCTTGGCCTCCCAAAATGCTGGGATTACAGGCATGAGCCACTGCACCAGGCCAGCAGATTCATTTCTAATGGGCAATTGAAAATGGACTTGTGGCCGGGCGCGGTGGCTCAAGCCTGTAATCCCAGCACTTTGGGAGGCCGAGACGGGCGGATCACGAGGTCAGGAAATCAAGACCATCCTGGCTAACACGGTGAAACCCCGTCTCTACTAAAAACTACAAAAAAAAAACCAGCCGGGCGAGGTGGCGGGCGCCTGTAGTCCCAGCTAATGTAGTCCCAGCTACTCGGAAGGTTGAGGCAGGAGAGTGCCATAAACCCGGACGGCGGAGCTTGCAGTGAGCTGAGATCCGGCCACTGCACTCCAGCCTGGGCGACAGAGCGAGACTCCGTCTCAAAAAAAAAAAAGAAAATGAACTTGTATTATTTCTGAGGTCCACTAATTTTTTAAAGATAAGATCTTTATTTTTCAAATGCTTGACTCATTGATGTTCATTAATTTTTTTAAAAAAACATTAAGAACCTGGGTGGGTAGAATTTACATTTTCTACCTTTAATTTTTTTTTATTAAAGTCATCATAAATTACTTACTTTACATTTGTGTAAGGCTTCTTAGAAAGTATTATGGATCCTTTACCAAACTGTATATTTGTGGTGAACATAGTTGTTTAATACCGCAATAGAAATCTCTATTCATATTAAGTACCCAATTCCTGACACATGTTGGGAAGAGAAACAACCTTGATGACATCTCAAACAGTCTGTGAATATGTGAAAAAATTAATTAAAGAGACTTACCTAATATTTGTGTAGGGTTTGCTTGGTCAAATGTGACAGCCTCTTTTTTAGGGAAATAAATATTCATTGTTTTAGATGCAGCTGATCGGTAGGCACTATTCCCTATTTAAAGAATAGAAGATGATGATAACCATAAGTAGTGATCAAAAATGAGATTTTACTAACCATAAGACTTAGTTTTGACAATTATTGAGATATGCAACTATTCAGTGCATGCACTAAACAAGGAACCTCAAGGGGAAAAATATCCACAATATTTTGGTTACTTTATATTTATTGATATAATATTTTTTGGTTTGGGGAATGGAAGCTTAAATGTAGAACAAGATCATCTCATACTTTCTACTTCTTTTTTTTGAGATACGGTGCAGTGGTGCAATTACAGCTCACTACAGCCTCGACCTTCTGGGCTCAAGCGATCCTCCCACCTCAGCCTCCCAAAGTGCTTGGATTACAGGTGTGAGCCACCAAGCCTGGCCTAAGATTCAATCTAATTATACATTTTTTAAAATGTCAAAGAATACCATATAATTATATGAAACTTTCCATTCTCATCTTTTCTAAGGCATGCTGATCTCTCCCTTATGTCTTTTATTGCTTATTCCAAATGATGTAGTAGGCATTATCGTTTGCTCTAAGCTTTTTCTGCATCATCTTTATAAATTCCCAAGTTATAAATCCCTGAAGGACAGGAGTCCTAGTCTTTTTTAAAAAAAATTATTTTATTAAGTTTCAGGGTACATGTGCAGGACGTGCAAGTTTGTTACATAGGTAAATGTGTGCCATGGTGGTTTGTTGAGGAGTCCTAGCCTTTTTTTTTTTTTTGAGACAGAGTGTCGCTCTGTTGCCCAGGCTGGAGTACAGTGGCGTAATATCGGCTCACTGCAACCTCCGCCTCCTGGGTTCAAGCAATTCTCCTGCCTTAGCCTCCAGAATAGCTGGGATTACAGGCATGTACCACCACGCCTGGCTAATTTTTGTATTTTTAGTAGAGACAGGGTTTCACCATATTGGCCAGGCTGGTCTTGAACTCCTGACCTCGTCATCCACCTGCCTCAGCCTCCCAAAGTGCTGAGATTACAGGCGTGAGCCACCATGCCCAGCCACCTTTGGGATTTTTATGAAAGCTCCATCATGGAGGCATGACTGATTTTTTTTTTTTTTTTTTTTCAGGCATGAGCCACCAGGCCCATCCAAGTCCTAGTCTTTTACACTTTTTTTCACATCTTAAGTCTCTATTATATTAACAGAAACTCAGTATCTGATCATGAACTGGCACATGATGAAAATTCATCAATGTTCAATGAATAAAGTGACTTCAATTAAGTATAATTTAAATCTAATTTACATCTCAAATTTCAAATCTGAATCAACGTAAACCCTATTTTGTTCTAACGTACATTTAAGGTATTGTGCAAAAATATGAATAAAAGATTTATTTTAATATTCTGAGTACATCAGGAATAGAAAGGGATGAAGGTAAAGATGAAACAGTGAGACTGGTGTATAAAATTAATTCTGTTTATAAAGAATAAATTTTTCTTGACATAAAAATGAGCTATACACACGCTGCCTGCATTCTTGGTCATTATAGTCTAGTAGTTGTGTTAAGAATGCAAATATTAATCAAATATCATCCAAATATGTATAATGAAAAGTTCCCTGATGGAAAAGTTCAGGATGCAATGAAAGATAAGAGTAGGTGATCTAGCAAAGGGCATATGTGGGTGTTCAGAAAAGTTTCACTGAGCTTATCTAATACTGTATTACACAATTAAGTAAAAAAGAAAAGGCAGAAAAACAGCCAATAATTTGTGGTCTAAATGACAAGGCAAAGGGCAATACATAAGTATGTCAAAAGAAAACAGTGAGTTCAAAGCTCTGGAGGTAGAAAACAGTATTACATGCTCAAGAAACTGACACCGGTCAGTATGGCTGGACAGAGGAAAGGCAGAGAGGAATGTGAGGCAAGGCAAAACAAAAATATTCACTGGGAAGCCACTGAAGAGTTTTTTAATCAAGGGAGGTGCAGAAACATAAGAGTAAACAATAAAATGATCACTGTCTGCAGTATGGATCATGGAGAGACCAATTTGGAAGTTATTTCATTATTCTAGGCAAGAGGTGACATTAGCTTGTACTAAGGTATATAAAGTTCCAATATACACACCATACTGTTAAAAACTAACTTCTGGAAAATGGGAGGGAGCACTGTTAACTTTTGTTAACAAGTACAGCTAACAATTACTAAGCATTAATTTGGTAAAAAGTTATTTACATAAATTTTATAATTTTAAGCTCTTAATTCTAGGAAGTAGATATTACCTCAACTTTGCAAATGAGAAAAACAAAAGCACAGACACATCAAATAAATTGTTCAAGGTCAAGCAGATAAAAAGTAGTAGAGCTGAGATTTGAATTTAGATTCTCACTCCAGAATCCATAATCTTAATTAGAGTTACTATGTTATACGTCAGTATTGCTAACCAATGTTACTTATGCAATTAAAAAATAGCTTACAAAATCACATGCCAAGTGATGGACATGGTAGCATGCGCATGTAAACCCAACTACTCAGGAGGCTCAGGTGCGAGGATCATGTGAGCCCAGGAGTTTGAGTCCAGGCCAGGCAACAAAACAAGATCCCATCTCAAAAGTAATAAAAAATAAAAACATGGGCTAGGTTAGTTATTGAGTGGTAGGTTTATGGGTGTTTATTTTAATGCTGAATAACACATATGTTACTCAATTTCTCTCATATAAATTACGAAGAATATAAAAATTAAGTAGAAAAAAAAATGCCAAGATATCTGTCAAACTTGAAAGAGATGAACCACAAATTTAGCTCTGTGTTTTACTGGCAGCCAATACAGAGGAAAACATACCAGCACATATTCAATGAACAAGTTAGGTATGTCAGACTGTAGACTAGATAACTAAGGATTAAAAAACAATTAGTTGCTCAGAAGAATGATAGCTATTCCAGGCCTAAATCACAGAAGCAAATTCTTTCCTGAGTCTTCTTAAAGAGACCAATGTATAATCCAGTGAATAACATTCTCAACACATTAAGTAAGAATGAAGAGATGAGAATAAACATAGACTTTGTAATAGTAGCGAGGAAAGCAGACTTACCACAGTAAAACAGTAGTTTCCGTTCCTAGATGCATATTAGAATCACACTGGAAGATTATAAAACTACCCTTTGCCAAGTCCCTAACTCACAGCAGAATTAGACCAAGTAAGCATCTCTGGGGATAAGGCTGAAGTACGTTTGGAAAGCTCCCCAGATGATTCTAATACGTAGTAATGAGACAATTCTGAGAAAACTCGAAAAGCCAGACAAGTTTGGTCTTGATTTACTACACAAAAAGTTCTCAACCAAGAAAATGACACAAATTTTCTTACTCTTTTCATTAAATAAAAGTTCCAGTGAATTTTTAAAATCTAAAAAAAGGAAAAAGAAACAAAAAGTATGTACCTGTAAATGGATCAACTCCGGCCATGGTAGTTCCCATACTTGTAGAACCTGGTACATAACGACCAGCACCTACAATACAATAATACTCCTAGTAAGCAAAGGTGACTGCAAATTATAAAGTTCAAACTCTTCTTTGCATATTTCCATTATTAAGCAGAATTCACAATGGTGTCATACTATACATAATAAATATGCCATAAATTTAATACAGAAAAATGCTGAGAACAGTGCCTGGGCATGTCATAAGTGCCCAACAAATGTTAGCTACAAATTAAACATTACATGCCTTATATATTATAATTGTAGAAGTTTAGTAAATTACAAAAATGTAAGTGGATTGGAGAGAAATAAAAGTTTCCAGAAAGAAATGTGAATGCTATTCTATTGAAGTAAAGGGGTGGGACTAACTAGCACATAAGACAATTGGAAAAGACTCAGGAGGTTAGAGATACTATGACAACAGCCCAGTCACATTTTATTATAGATAATACTTGTGGCTGTCCTATTGAAAATAAAAAGAAGGAAACATAAAAAGTAAGTATAGAGAGAGAATCAGCAGGATTTGGAGATACTCAGAATACTGGATCAGCCTTTATGGGAAGAAGAAAAATGGGCTACTGTTCTAGTCTCTCTCAATTTACACTCCAGGAGTTGTTATAATTGGTGCAACATATACAGAAAAGCCAAACAAAATTTAAAAAGCAAAACCAGAAAGACAGTAAGATTAATTAAAATAATGAGAAACACAGAATAAATGGGTTTGTTGAAATTTAACCATATGCCAGCTAATCATCTTCTATGCATATATTCATTATACTATTCTATAGATACCATTATAATTCACAATATTTTAGAAGCAGAAGGCTGAATAACTTGCCCAAGGCATTAAGCTCTTAAGAGGTAAAGTACAGTCTCACACTTTTCTAAATATGGTTTTCTGACCACCTGAATGAATCACAGTTTCAATACACAGATTCCCAGAGTCCACCCATAACCCAGGGGTATTCCAAACTGGCTCCACTTTAGAAACACTTGGGGAACTTTAAGATCGCTGGGCATGGTGGCTCACGCCTGTAAACCCAGCACTTTGGGAGGTTGAGGTGGGCGGATCACCTGAGGTCAGGAGTTCGAGACCAGCCTGCCCAATATGGAGAAACCCCGTCTCTACTAAAAGTACAAAATTAGCCAGACATGGTGGCGCATGCCTGTAATTCTGGCTATTCGGGAGTCTGAGGCAGGAGAATTGCTTAAAGATGTGAGGCAGAGGTTGTGGTGAGCTGAGATCGCACCATTGCACTCCAGCCCGGGCAACAAGAGCAAAACTCTTGACTTGAAAAAAAAAAAAAAAATCTAAGATCAAACTACCACCAAGATCATTTATTTAATTAGAATCCTTTGGTGAGAGATCAGATCATGAATAGTTTTAGTTTTAACCTCCTCACTAATCTACTGAATCAGAATCTCTTGGCTGTAGAACCCTGGGATAAGTAATTTAAACAAGCTTCCCAGATCATTCTAATAAACATTAGCAGTTTAAGGATAGCATAAATTAATATGGGGAAGAAAGAAGAATTAAGATTGACTTTAAGTTGTAGCCAGACAGGGAAATCTTTTGGCCCCAGTGCCACTGACAAAGTTGGGAAAACATCATCATCAACAATGACTAACATACACCGATGGCTTAAATATACGCCAGGCATTCTGCTTAACACTTACACATATTATGCCATTTTCTTTTCATACCTCAATATGGTAGAGGCTGTTATATATTTATATGAAAGGTATTCAATTATCCTAATGATACCCTAATTCTCTTGGACATTGTGTATGCTATCTTGCATATCTGCATAATCACTGCATCTTCTGAGTTACTGACATTATGGAACAGTGAGATATACTCTGGTTATAATGGCCCCCGGAGTTTTCTTGATTTTGCTGGTATTAGTTGAAGCTTGGTATGTTCTTTCTGTTCCAGAAAAAAAGGCCGCCAAAGTGATTTGGATTCTCACTTGGTATTAAGTTTCAGGGAATCACTGTTTCTGAACTGCTGATAAAGAGAAAGCCATCTTATCTACTCTTCAGATCCTTACTACCATTTGAAATCACATGTTATCAAAGACTTCCTTAACAGCCACTGTACCATCACAGCACATGTTATCAAAGACTTCCTTAACAGCCACTGTACCATCACAGCATTTAGTGCGATAGTTAATTATTTTCATTTACTGGTTATCAATGCACATGGTACAACCATTTGCATCTGGGCCACAAAAACATTCACAGGAAAAAGGAAGCTCACTGACAGCAATCCACAACTTCATGACACTGACTTAACATTGTATGTTTGTCCAATCTCTGGCTTAGGACTGTAGATTGTGATTTTTATAGCTCACAGTACTAATCTGCAAGGCCAGTGGATACCTAAAGGCTATGATCTCTTCCCAAACTGAGTATACTGTCGAGGAACTCTGTCTGAAGATCCAACAACAGCATCATATAAGATATCAAAAGCCATTCTGAAAATAGAGACTTCTTCAGCTGCCTTAAAATCCAACTCTGGCAACTTTTTCCAGTAGTGTTGACGCTGAGGCATGCATACCTTGGTAAATAAATTCATTTTGAAGAGATACACCAACACTTCAAGGGCTTCAAGAAGGACATTAATAACTTAGATTAGGAAGACTATTCCTGGGTAGCTGGGTGGAATGTCTTCCATGTTAAGTCAAAATATGCCTGGGGAGACTTCTTGATTGTACTGCTCCATCCAATATCAGGGACTCACATGGCTCCTTCTCTGCTCGTGATTGGTAGCATCTCGCCAGTGATAGCACTCATGCTGTGTCTTGGTTGGTGGGTTCCCCTATTATCTAATTTCACAGATAAAAAAAATAGGCTCAGACAGGTTAGGTAACTTGCCAACTTCTCACAGCAAGTAAGTGGTAGAGCCCAATTTTGAACCAAGGTTTGTCTGACTCTAAAACCTATGTTCTTAACTATACTGCTCTCCTGGTGGGAAGGACCCCTGGAGAAAACAATGAGTTCTAATAATATGCTATTTAAAATTCACGAGGAAATCTACACAACTACTCCAGGAAAAAGCAAAAATCAGAAGTTAAAGAAAAGGAGATCCATCAAAATTGAAAATACAGGTAAGGGAATTATCAGTTATGGGATGACATCTCCAAGATGTAAAGCCATGTAATGCAAGATGCTATACATTTAGTGAAGAAAGATACATGAATCAAAACTGCATCCCACCTGTAAAAGGATCTGCTGTGGGTAGTGTGTTAGAAGATCCTGAAGAGCCTGGAACATACCGACCACCACCTGTGCATGCAAAACAAAGAAAAGGCAGAAGTGCACCAAAGTTCTGAATTTTTCAAACAGCACAATGCTTGTTTTAGAAGAACCTACATTTGGAGAAAAACAGAAGAGCAAAACTTTCACATGATAGAATGAAAGTAACTATAGTTAGAAGTCTTATAGCTGGGAAAAAACTGAAATTTTAATGAATATCCAAGTTTTGTTTTCTTAACTTTAATGTTTTATTATATCTTAGCCCCAGCACTTAAATATTAAAGCTTAATTCAAATATCAAAAGAGAATTGCAGGTGATATCTGACCTAAATATATATACATACAATCAATTCCTGTCTCTGTTCCTATACAAACTCACAAGAATTCCTGCTGTTGTTGTTATCAAAACCACAGGCACTAAATGTTAATCTTTTAGAGCTCCAGGTTCATTAATTCATGTGTCAAACAATGGACTCAGTGCTGGGGATCCAGTAGGGAACAAAATTGCTAATATCCACTGAAGCTTACAACCCACTGGAGAAGAGAATTAGAAAGGGGATGAAAACTACAAAGGAAAGAGATTTCCATTTATACATTTACGAATGTGTGGCATATGTGCCTATGTTTTGTTAGTACCTCTAGGGAAATAATCAGGTTGTCCACAAAAACAAAAAAAAAGTAAGGATGCTTATAAAGAGTCTTAGAAGGGCAAAACAAGCCAAGTGCTTCCTAGGTTTCCAGACAAAGTCAGCTGCTTTAATTCCTTTCCTGTATCCTACATGCAAAATAGCTTACACAGTACTACAATCTGTGTTCACTCTTTTGAACTATAGTCTAAAATTCCAACAACAAAAATATCCAGATACTAAGCACTTATTTTCTTTTTAAGTGCAAGTATTTGGAGGATCAGATCATCTGTAATTCAGTAGTGAGTTACTTTGATAATTTTTTTTTTAAATTTTTAATTTTTTTCAGACGGAATTTTGCACTGTCGCCCAGGCTGGAGTGCAATGGCGCAATCTCAGCTCACTGCCACCTCTGCCTCCCGGGTTCACATGATTCTCCTGCCTCAGGCTCCTAAGGAGCTAGGATTACAGGCACATATCCACCACATCTGGCTAATTTTTTGTATTTCTTTTTTAGTAGAGATGGGGTTTCACTATGTTGGCCAGACTGGTCTTGCACTCCTGACCTTGTGATCTGCCTGCCTCGGCCTCCCGAAGTGCTGGCATGAGCCATCGCACCTGACCTGATAATTTTATTCAAATCAAGATGCAGGAAACATTAGTTTTATTATATGAATGGGCAATGAAATTTTGAAGTAGAAAGAGAAGAGATAATTTGGGAATGTGGAGTAGCTTTCAGGGAAGAAAAGGTGGATCTACATAAGGATTTGAGACAGGAATACAATATGAGGTCCTTTTAAACAAGGAAGAGCACTAGCACATGAAAAATGTGAGTCAGAAATGACGAGAGGAAAACATTAACAGTCAAGTGCCTATCTCAAAATGTTATTTGGAGGAGGCATTTTAGTTCCTCTTAACCAGCCTCCAGAACTCACATTAATATTACTAGGATTAGATTCCACTTCTTAGGAGCCAGAATTTGGACTAGTACCACCAGCATTACAATTTACAGACTGTTATGAGCACCTAACTGCATTTATAACATCTGAGATATTGCATACGATGTTACAAACAACTAACTTAAAATGAACTTGTAGAATATATATCACATACAAACTAAAACTACCCACAGGGCTCACCTTTAGATTTGATGCATGACTGACCAATTTAGCCTCACGTGAAAAAAGAATTATTTACTAAATTTTGCCAAAATATAATTTTTAAAAAGAAACACTATATAAAAGAACTTACAAGTTTGTTTTTGTTTCAAATAACTGAAATTCCATTATAGTATGATTGTATTTTTGAAAGACAACAATTTACTATTATTTCTGTAAAATACAGAATTACTATGTAATTTGAGGCTTAAACATACGAATGTGGAGTAAAACTTTGTTGTAGATGTTGGTATTTATTGAAAAAGCTAATCACATGAGTGTTTGAAAACATCAAAAGTATCAATCAACACTAATGGAAATATGTAAGACTCAATATAAACACTAACTTACCTGTAAATGGATCTGAAAAGCTGGGATTCCCAAGTCCCAACATTTGACCTTTTGTGTTATCAATAATAAATTTAGCGACTTGATCCAGAAACATAGGATTCAAATCATTCTTCTGTAAGAAGTTGTATGCAGTTAACCAGGGATCATCACTGGTATTATATGGCAATTTATATGATGGTCCACCTTCATTGACATCAATTGAGAAAACATAATCAAATTCCTAAAGTAGGAATATAAAAAGGAGACACATGTTTATTAATTTATCTGTTCACGTATATTAATGACATACAAGATAACACAGATGTGTTCTTTATTTTAATAATTATAGTACTTAAATTTTCTCCAAAGTACAGTGCTAAAATCTTCCTTTTTGGCAGATAAAGATTAATAGCCCCCATCTGCATGTGATGCAAAATTAGTATTTCATTAGGGGATGGGGGTGAGGATGAAAGATGGATTACAACTACATATTAATTCTAGAGCCAAAGGAGAGTTTCCAACTAGTTGATACCAACGTCAAAATTATCAGCTGTTACTGTGCCCTACTCACCAAAACATGCCGGCATTTTAAGCACTGCCTTGCAGGGTCCCTCATGTCTTGTCAAGTTAAATATAGCCAGGCATGAGGTATTAGATGAAAGGTGGCACAGAAGCTCCCAATACAAAATGGCTGGGAACAGCTTTTGTATAGAAATTACTAAGTGACAGACTATTGCTAATTTGTCTATCAAATGCAGCTCTCACTACATGGAAAGATACTTTTAAAATATCTATTTCAAGACAAGGAAAAAAAAAAGATTATTATCCCACACAGTAATGTATTTTTAAATGTCAAAACAAAGAAAATTTTATCACTATGGGGCAAAGGAAACCTTTAATTTGCCTAATGATTTAAGATAACAGTAATTAGAAAGTAGAAGTCGACATACTTTCCCTTCATATAAAACTTTTCCAGATGTTTGCTGATTAGCACCAGATGAGCCAACAACATCACCAATTTTTATCCACCTCCCTTCACTAACACTCCACTGATAGGCTTCGACTTTCTCCCCATCTCTGATTAGACGAGTCTGTCCTTCTCTAGTACCTTAAAATAAAAATTTTAAGAATCAAAGGTAGAATGGCAGTGTAAAATTGAAAAACACTTAGATAGAAAATTCTTAACATTAAAATTTACACACAAGAGAATATGGATTTTGTTTTAAAATAAAATTGTATTAAATATTTAAAAATGTAATTTTACTAGAAAGTGGCCAAAAAAAAATAACAGTTAAAAGGAAATATTATTAGTCAAAGGAAGGTTAACAAAACGTGATTCTACTAGGAAGCAACTGGCCCATCAAAAATAAAACAAGTTTTATTAGTGAATGTATCTTCCTAACACATTTCATTCCATAAATGGCTCTCCATTAATCCAGTGGCTCAGGCTGAAAAGTAGGAAAGTCTGATACCTTTCTCTCAACCGCATAGCTCCTTCAGCTACTTCTCAGCACCCGCTTCAGCTACTTCTATCAGCTCAATCTTTTTTTTTTTTTGAGATGGAGTCTCACTCTGTCGCCCAGGCTGGAGTGCAGTGGCCAGATCTCAGCTTACTGCAAGCTCCATCTCCCGGGTTCACCCCATTCTCCTGCCTCAGCCTCCCGAGTAGCTGGGACTACAGGTGCCCGCCACCTCGCCCGGCTAGTATTTTGTATTTTTTCAGTAGAGATGGGGTTTCACTGTGTTAGCCAGGATGGTCTCGATATCCTGACCTCGTGATCTGCCCATCTCGGCCTCCCAAAATGCTGGGATTATAGGCTTGAGCCACCATGCCCGGCCCAGCTCATTCTTTATATCCAGAAAACTGTCTCCTTAACATCTTCATCATCATCCCTTGGTCCAAGCCACCATCATTTCTCAGTTGGGTTGATTCAATGGCCTCTTACCTGTGCTCTTGGCCCCTGACAGTGTATATTCCACCCAGCAACCTCAGGAATTTTTTCAAAAGTTTAACTAGGTCCTGACACTCTACTGCTTGAAACCCATCAATGCTTCTAATCTCACTTGGTAAAAGCCTAAACTCTTGAGTAGTGTACAAGACCAAATACAAATTGTCCCTACTATCCTATATGATCTTACCTTCTACTACTCCCCCTGTCCCCTCATCTGCCAATTTCAGCCACAGAGCCTTTGCACTGGCTGTTTATTCTGCCTATGATACTCTTTACACCGATATTGGCAGTATTTGCTCCTTTGCCTCTTTAATGACTGTACACAAATGTCATGTTCTCAACAAGGCCTTCAGTGACGGAGACAGCTATCCATCCTCCAAAGAATCATGCTCTTCTTCCATTGGATACAGCTGTAGTTGTCTAGCCAGAGACTACATTATCTAGCCCCCATGCCATCGGGCAGTCACATGATGTCACATTACTGAGTAATGGTCAGTGGAATCTGGGTGGGTGTGATATATGCCGCTTCTGACCTAGACCATCATACTTTAATCTCCCCTCTTACCCCATCTTAATCTGTTTCAATTTGTTATTTTGGTTGACCACATAAAGAAAATCCAGCCTAACACACGGGGGTGGCTGAAAAAGAGAAGACGAGTCTTTTCAGAAAATGTGGATAGGCCAGAAATACTAGTTTTTTATAGTGTACAATCTGAAACAGCATCAATGAATTTTTCATGCTCTATTATACTAAAATCCACTGGTCTATCTTGCACTTTTTTTTTTTTTTTTTTTTTTGAGACCGAGTCTTGCTCTGTCACCCAGGCTGGAGTGCAGTGGCGCGATCTCGGCTCACTGCAATCTCTGCCTCCCAGGTTCATGCCATTCTCCCACCTCAGCCTCCCAAGTAGCTGGGACTACAGGCGCCTGCCACCACACCCGGCTAATTTTGTTTTTATATTTTTTTTTTTTTTTGAGACGGAGTCTCGCTCTGTCACCCAGGCTGGAGTGCGGTGGCCGGATCTCTGCTCACTGCAAGCTCCGCCTCCCGGGTTTACACCATTCTCCTGCCTCAGCCTCCCGAGTAGCTGGGACTACAGGCGCTCGCCACCTCGCCCGGCTAGTTTTTTGTACTTTTTAGTAGAGACGGGGTTTCACTGTGTTAGCCAGGATGGTCTCGATCTCCTGACCTCGTGATCCGCCCGTCTCGGCCTCCCAAAGTGCTGGGATTACAGGCTTGAGCCACCGCGCCCGGCCTGTTTTTATATTTTTAGTAGACACAGGGTTTCACCATGTTGGCCAGGATAGTCTCAATCTCCTGACCTCGTGATCCGCCCGCCTCGGCCTCCCAAAGTGCTGGGATTACAGGCATAAGCCACTGTGCCCGGCCATCTTGCACTTTGAATGGCTCTTTTACCCATGTCTGAGTTGGTATGAGATACTAGTCATACGGAAAATAACGGTCCAATGACTTACGCAGATCTTCTGCATATTTATATAGTTTATTATTCCACATTAAAAAATGACATTTGTTAATATTATCACTGGTATCAATACAAATGGGAAGCTACTAAGTTCCTGGTGGAGATATATTTTTCCCAAATTTCAATTTTCACTCAAACACTTGAATTTTATCTTTGGCAACATATATTGTCAGTTATTTTCCTTGAGGGAACATGCTCACTCTGTTCATTTTCCAAAAAAGCCTGCCAAATACCAAAGCCTAAATAACCATAGTCATTCTTTCAAATAAAAATAGCATTCCATGAAAAAACTGGCAGTTTAGCCTGCAACTCAAATGACGGCACAAGTTCTTTTCTTTGAGACACCGTAGTATTTTGATTTATTTTATGTCTACTTTATGTTTTCTCACCCAGAATATTTAAAAAGACGTGTCAAAATGTAATAAAATTTATAATTCTTAATGCCTCATCAAGGACATGCTTAATGGCAAACCATTTAAAAAAAAAAAAAAAAACACTGCATGCAAATAGAACATTACCAGAATGGCTTAATGCCCCTGCCCTGATTTACATACTAATGAACCAATGGTTTCACCCACCATTGTTTTTGTACCGTAAGTGCAAACATTAACACAATGTACAAAATTCAAATAATATCTAGTATTACAAAAATTAGTTTTGACCTCATGGACATCCTGAAAGGATCTCAGAATCCCCAGAGGTCCATGAATCAAGCTTTTAGAAGCACTGGTATAATTACGCAGTCAAGAGATACATCCAACACAAGATTTCATTTGAGATGACTACTGTCTCCTGATTTCGAACTCAAATGATTCCCAACTCATTACACAGACAATGCTTGATTTAAACTCTTTTTTTTTTTGAGACACAGTCACACTCTGTCACCTGTGCTGGAGTGCAATAGTGTGGTCTCAGCTCAGCCTCGACCTGCTGGGCTCAATCACCCTCCCACTTCAGCTTCCCGAGTAGCTGGGACTATAAGAACATGCCATCACACCTGGCTAATTATGTATTTAAACTCGTTCTAATATTCAGTTTGTACAACCCCTCTTAGAGAATCCAATCAACCAAAAAGTATTAAATGAGTGCCTTTTGAATGCCTACTGTAAATGGTCTAAGTCTTGGGAGATTTATTTTTTAATTCCTGTTTATGAGAAGCTTAATTCAAAGTCTACTGTGAGACAGAGGCAAGAACATGGTTTCTCATAGTGATTATATATAATAGTAGAAATTCTCAAAAATCAGCATCTAGCAATGAGAGTAACACTAAAACACGAGCAAAACAACATTTATTTTTCTTCTCTTAATTATTCCAAAAGCCAAATATGGTGAATTTTTCCTACTAGGTACAATAAAATACTTACCAGGTTCATTAAGATGTTCCCTCCCAGGAAGCTGCTCAGCATTGATGTCCCCTAAATCGCCAGTTTTAGAATCAATGGTTGCATGAGACAGCTCTTTTTCAAAAGCCTTGATTTCTTCAGCACTTGCTGTTCGATCTTCTGATTCTGTAAACACTCTAATAATGCCATCACTGTAAGGAAAAATAAACTGATTTAAAAAGTCATTGCCATAATACATTAACATTATCACACCTGAATGATCCATAGTAAAAATCATCTGTATTTGTGAAGGAGAAACATTAGCATGTATTAATTGCTGATTATAGCACTGTGCTGACTTCAGCACATACTACTATTATGTCAACTATTTAATAGACAAATTATTGACAAAGAACAGAGAAATACGTATTTTACACAAGTTCCAATTCCAAGTTAAATATTTACCATCGTAAAAATCTAGAACTATAGTATGTAGTTTTAAAGTCAATATTATATAGTTATTACCATATAGAGAAGGGTAGTGGGCTAGTTTAGTTTATAAAGGGCTCAAAGACCCAACGTAGGGCTTAAAATTAGCAGATGTTCAGTAGAAAAATATGGTCTTCCTTTACTATGCCAGTAACTAGCAATGTAACTTCAATCAAGGGGAAAAAAAAATGGCCTAATGTTTGGATTAGATGGCCAATCTTAACCATGTTTCTCAGAAAAATTACTTCATCTCCATGATTTCTTAATTCTAAATGTTGAGATAGGAGAAGCAAATTAGACACTTTCAGTTGTATTAATCCTGGCCCATTCTACAGGAAACCTGTTTCTAATTTAATCATCCACAAACATGTGTATCACTCTTTCTATTGGTTTTTCTTCAACTTCAAATATGCTTGGGGGGAAAAAAACTAAGCCTATAAATCACCCCCTGTTCCAGCCAAAAAATAAAACACTCACTTTATTAGACTCTCTATCCCTTATAGCTGTCACCTTCTTTTTCTTCTTTTTTTTTTTTTTTGAGACAGGGTCCCACTGTCACCTAGGCTGGAGTGCAGCGGCGGCAATCACAGCTCACTGCAACCCCAAATTCCCAGGCCAGAGCAATCCTCCCACCTCAGCCTCCTGAGCAGCTGGGACTACAGATGCATGCCACCACGCCCAGCTAATTAAAGAATTTTCTTTGTGGAGACAGGGTCTCAGGAGCTCACCCAGGATAGTCTCGAACTCTTGAGCTCAAGCGATCCTCCCCCCTGACCTCCCAAAGTGCTGGGATTACAAGTGTGAGCCACAGCAGCTGGCCTTCTTATTGCTTTCAATGCTACAGTAGCATTATAGAGTAGTCTACGATCCTTCATCCATCTCCTCCAACCCTTTATTTCCTCTTATTTGCCTTTTTTCCTATCATTTTCCAATCAAAATGTGATTGATGCCAAAAGTCACTAACAACATCTTTCAAATCCAAATGCTTTCCAAACTTACCATTCCTTGACTCCTCAAACACTTTTTGACACTGATGACAATCTCCCTCCAAAATCTTTCCTTTTCTGTCTCCCAGAAATTTCAACATTTGAATTGCTTTGTTTTGTTTAACCTACTAGCTTCTTTTTCTCTACTAATGGTGTATCATAAAACTCAGTTCTTAGTCTTCTGTTCCTCCCCTGTATTTCTTCTCTCAGAGAATGGTGTTCCATGGTTTGCTTTTGGAAGCATTGCGAAATCTTTATCTTAGCCTCAGTTCTTATACTAGGCTCCAGTTCAAATGACCATGATCCACTGGCATGAGTGTGGCTCACCACCACTGCAGACCTCAGGAAGTCCAAGGCCACAGTCATCACCTTCTGTACCCAACCAATTCTCCCACTTCTCTATTTTTATTAATGGGGACTTCCAATCACCAACAGTTTGAAGCTTTATCCTTTTCTTTCATCCTTTTTCTGACTGTTTTCCTTCTGGATTATCTCATTTATTTATTTCCTACCCATTAGCACTGTGGGGCCAATGTCTTATAACTTCACACTCCTACTGTATTTGCTTTCTAATATACTTTCCTGTCCATTGTCACCAGTAGTTAAATCCAATCTACACATTTAATAATTCGTAAGTTCTGCTTCAATTCTATTTCTTGCTCAAGAACCACAACCCTTTAACCCCAAGCAATGAATCTAAAAAATGCCTGGCATGAAAGCACTAAAGGTTCTCCACAGTTAAGCCCCATTGTACCTATTATCCCAGCATCAGTACTCCACCATTTTCCTTCACTTCCTAGGCATGCTGCATTCATTCTCACGAAGGAAACTTATACTCTTAGCTTTGACAAAAATTCACGTACCTTTTCTTACTCATAATCTTCCAAAATCCAATTCAAACTTCTTCTACAGAAAGTTTTCCCACACCAATCTCTACCTTCTCTAACTTCTTTTGTAGTCAATATCTTGACTGCACAATTGCAGTACAATACTGGTACATCATGCATCACTTAATGTGAAAGCTATAAAATCTACTACTGTTTTGTTTAGTAATTGAGGTGTCCATATAGTCTTCCCAAGACACCTGAAATTCCTTATGGCTTACCTCTATACACTCTAGCGCCTACTGAAGGCCTAGACACATAACATTTAATGACTGACTAGGATATAAATACCTCGCACCAACCACAATGTCACCATTGTCGAGCACACAGCAGCACCATATAGACTGAGCTGGAAGTCGGATGGTTTGAGCACATTCCCCATGTTTCCAGATTCTCAGAGATCTGTCCTCTGCTGTTGTCACAAAGTCTAAAATTAATGAACATAGGAAGTATTAGTTTGAATAAATAAAATTAAGTACATTTATACATACCATCTTTCCGGATACACTTTCTGAAACCCAAAGAGTTTTAAAATTACAGCTTTAAATTTCATATGTTTTGTCACCTACAACATATACAACTTCAAAATCACATTTTTTATTCATGTCACATCTTACAAAGTCTTTCTTCAGATACCCACGAACTTTTTACAACACAACAATGTAATCTGAATTAATACAAAGATCGCCATACAATTTTCTTCTTTGTAAACAGGAGAAAGATACTTACGAAATAAATTTACTAAATTATTCAAGTCCCCACAGACAGTAATCAGCCCTCCTCCTTCCATCTCACAAATGGGACGGAATGATCAATACAAAACATTAAATACATAATATAACCTTACCTCTACAATTTGGAAAAACGGATATGCTGTAAATATAATTTGTATGTCCATAATATACTTCAAGACACTCGCCAGTGATTTGCCACCTTCTAATACTAGCATCATTTGCACAGGAAAGAAATTCTGTTTCACTCAAAATTGCCAAACCTCTTACACAGTCTTCATGCCCTGCATTAAAAAACAATAATGCATATCAATAAAACAGATAATTTGGCTGATGGCTTTATACATTTTACAAACATTATAAAACGTATCAGTGAGTAGTAAAAATTAATTTTCAAGTTAGAGAAATCTTATTTTCTGTTGAAAGTCTGGTAACCAAAATTTGTATTTAAGGTTTAGCAATATTTTTTTATCATCAGTCTTGGGAAGTTATTTTATATTCATCCTGTCTTCTCCAAAAACCTCTAGAAATAGTATTTTGATCCCAACAATTCATTTCCACCTGATAATTCATTTTTAATTTTTCTTCCCAAATAACAAGAGTAAGTTATAAAATACATAATATTCAAACATAATAGAAATATAAAACAAAGAATAGCCCATAAATTTAAGAACAAAACATTCTCTGAAGCTTGTGAAGGAGATCAGAAGTCAGATTTCCTATGTTCAGTATTTGTTGACTTAGATTAGCTATCACAGATTAATAATGATACATATATATAATATATATTGAAGCAGAAATAAAAGGATGTTTATTCATCATCCACTTTTCATCAAAAGATACTTTTTTTGTTTCTCTTTCTTGCTTTTGTGAGACAGAGTCTCACTTTGTTGCCTATGCTGGAGTGCAATGGAGCTATCTCTGCTCACTGCAACCTCTGCCTCCAGGGTTCAAGAGATTCTTGTGCCTCAGCCTCCCAAATAGCTGGAATTACAGGTGTGCATTACTATGCCTGGCTAATTTTTTTGTATTTTTATTTATATTTATTTTATTTTTTTGAGACAGAGTCTTGCTCCATCGCCAGGCTGGAGTATAGTGGCACAATCTTGGCTCACTATAACCTCCACCTCCCGGGTTCAAGCAGTTCTCCTGCCTCAGCCTCCCGAGTAGCTGGGATTACAGGTGCGCACCACCATGCCCAGTTGTATTTTTAGTAGAGACAGGGTTTCACCATGTTGGCCAGGATGGTCTTGATCTCTTGACCTTGTGATCCACCCGCCTCGGCCTCCCAAAGTGCTGGGATTACAGGTGTGAGCCACCGCGCACAGCCTTTTTAAAATTTTTAATAGAGACAGGGTTTCACCATGTTGCTGAGGCTGGTCTTGAACTCCTGGTCCCAAGTGATCCACCCACCTCAGCCTCCCAAAGGGCTGGAATTACAGGTGTGAGTCACCACGCCCAGCCAAAAGACACTTTTATCTGTACAAAGGGACCTCTTGCATATTATCTAGGGTAGTTACCAACTTTTAAGGAAAAAATTCAAAAAGAGAGGAAAAACACCACCAATTAAAATTCACAGTAAAAATTTAAGTACTCTACAAATAAATCAGTGATATTACTATTAGATAGCAGATGCATCAGTATTGGCATTATTTAATAGCTGGGGCTTAAAAAGAATACTCACCACAAACCACAACATAAACAAAGCCTGAAATCCATTATAAACAATGTGCTTCAATATAAAGACATTAATAATGCTTTCTTCCATATATGAAGATAACACTGCTGACTAACCATCAATAAGGCTTATGTTTAGAAGTTTCAGGCTAAAAGTATTAAAATGACAACCAAGAATATAACTATGTACCAAAATTTACATACATATATGCAGAGCACATACACATATTATATATAGCTTATCAGACAGCTATTTATCAGTCTACACCTGGCTGTTTTATGAGAGGTCTCATTATATCTTTTTTAAAGGTATTAGATATTAACTCATCAGAAAAATTACATTAACTCAAATTAGTAGCTTAAATATACTAATGTTTTCAAATATTTTCAAATGCTTTTAAACTTCTGAGAAAAAATATCTGAGCAAATAAAAAGCAATGATATTATAAAACTTGTCTACCCTGATCTTACCTGCAAAAGTCCTCTCACATCTTCCAGCCTTCCACAGTTTAATAGTCTTGTCTGCTGATCCAGTCAACATTAAGCCCTGTTCAGGTAAGATCTTTACCGCCCACACTGCAGCTGTATGACCCTGTGAGTAAAATGGGTATCAATTTAAGTTGCCACAGAATCATTCAATTTAATTATTCTTTAGAATATTTACACAGAACTACTGTACCTGCAAGGTCATCATGCACTTGTCATTCAGCCAGACTTTAGCAGTGGTGTCCCATGAACCACTAAGTAATGTCCCAAATTTTCCAGATGATAGACTACAAACTAAGGAAAAAACATCATTAGATAACACATTTTCATATAGAAAAATGCTCAACATTGAAAGTTACTAAAGCATTCCAATTTTAAAAACACTCTTTGAAGTGGCGGTATCTTAGCTAACTAAGGCTTAATTCAGCAGAGACACACAAGAGTACAGTGGTCAAGAGCAGACTCTGGTGCCAGACTGCCTAGGTGCAAGGCCTATCTGTGCACTTACAAGTCACGTAACTGCAGAAATACTACTCAAAATCAGATTCCTTGTCTGCAAAATGAGGGAGCAGAACTTAAGTGAAATACACAATCCTTCCAGCTTTAACAAATCATAATAGGGAGATAATGTAAATGATTTCGAAACACTGTTTATATATATATTTAAGATTGTTTTCATTAAAATGACCATAAAACCTGCAGCCAAGCTCAAAGTCCAACAGTAATGAAATGGTTAATTAAATGTCTTTCTTGATATAAAAGTATGCAGGTTAAAAATTACAAATACGAAAAATTACACCAGGCATGGTGACTCACACCTGTAATCCCAGCACTTTGGGAGGCCAAGGCAGGCAGACTGCTTGAGCTCAGGAGTTCGAGACCAGCCTAAGCAATGTGGCGAGACCCCATCTCTACTAAAAGTACAAAAAACTAGCTGAGAGTGGTGGTATGCGCCTGTGGTCCCAGCCACTTGGAAGGCTGAGGTGGGAGGACTGCTTGAGCCCAGGGCACAGAGGTTGCAGTGAACTGTGATCACATACCACTGCACTTCAGCCTGGGTTACACAGCAAGATCTTGTCTTTAAAACAAAAAGAAAAGAAAAATTAGCCAGGTGAAGTGGCTCATGCCTGTAATCCTAGCATTTTGGATTGAGCTCAGGAGTTAGAGACCAGCCTGGGCAATATAGTGAGACACCGCCTCTAAAAAAATTTTAAAATTAATCAGGCATGGTGGCACGCACCTGTCGTCCCAGTAAGAGAACCACTTGAGCCTGGGAAGTCAAGGCTGCAGTGAGCTGTAGCAGCACTGCCTTTTGGTATGGGCAACAAAGCGAGACCCTCTCTCAAAAGAAAAAAGAAAAAAAAAATTATCTTACAAAGAAGAATATCCTGGGGGGTCGAAGCACAGCCGTAAAGAACAATGGATTGGGAAACCTTTTTCCTAGACCAGAAGGAAGCAATCACAAAACTCTCTCTACCCTGAGTTCAGGATCCTTGAGACAGCCACTTATTTGGATTTCAGAATGGCTCTAGATTAAAAACTGTTGTCCCGCACTGCTTCCTCTTCTGAATGAGAGGGTTTGCTCTGATTATCCTATTCCTTTTCCATAATTGTATACTGGGTATGGGTGACAGCTTACTTATAAGCATCTCCTCCCTGATGTTTAGAATACTTAGCATCACTCAGAGAAGACTTTTGGATTATCTGATGACGCTGAATAATTGATGACCAGAAAGCATGCTGTGGTAACTCTCCCTTTTTGGACGCATGGGAGGATGGTACTTTCCTCCTCCATTTGAAGTTAAGGCACAGTCATACTTGCATTAGTCAACACACTTTCCAGCTTTAACAGAAATGTCAGAAATGGTAGCTGACACTTTCAGTCAGACACGTTTTTGGTGTTTTTTAAAATTGATTTTTAAAAATTATCCACTACTGTGACATTCAAGGAAGGCACATGCTTTTAAAAGCTGGTGCCTTTTTTTCTTTTTTTTTTTGAGGTGGAGTCTCACTCCGTCACCAGGCTGGACTACTGTGGCGTGATCTCGGCTCGCTGCAACCTCCACTTCCTGGGTTCAAGCAATTCTCCTGCCTCAGCCTCCCAAGTAGCTGGGATTACAGGTGCCCGCCACCACACCCGGCTAATTTTTGTATTTTTAGTAGAGGCGGGGTTTCACCATGTTCGTCAGGCTGGTCCCGATCTTGTGACCTTGTGTTCCACCCACCTTGGCCTCCCAAAGTGCTGGGATTACAGGCGTGAGCCACCGCGCCCAGACAGCCAGTGCCTTATTAACCATGTTGCCCTTTGACTGCTGCAACAACTACTGAAGCATGTGTGGAGAGAAAGCCCCATCAGTCTGAGTCCCTGAGAAAATCTGATGAACAGAGTCCCTTTATTAATCCATGTTGAACATGCAGGGTTAATGAGAAATACTCACATGTTATGTCACCGAGATCTTTTTTTTTTTTTTTTTTTGAGATGGAGTTTTGCTCTTGTTGCCCAGGCTGGAGTGCAATGGCATGATCTTGGCTCACTGCAACCTCTGCCTACCAGGCACAAGTGATTCTCCTGTCTCAACCTCCCAAGTAGCTAGGATTACAGGCATGCGTCACCACGCCCAGCTAATTTTTTTGTATTTAGTAGAGACGGAGTTCACCATGTTAGTCAGGCTGGTCGTGAACTCCTGACCTCAGGTGATCCACCTGCCTCGGCCTCCCAAAGTGCTGTGATTACAGGCGTGCACCACCGTGCCCAGCTTGAGATCTTAATAGTTGTAACTTGGGTGCTCTTTACATTCTTCCACAAACCAGTATAAAATAATTGAATAAAATACCATTTCCCATTAAAAGAAAAAAAACAAACAGGACTTCCTGGCAAAAGTGCTGGTTTGAGGTCTAGGCAAGAAATGTGCAAATTGAACTTAGAACATTCTGTAATATTAGAAAGCAAGGAAGACTACTGAAGGTCTTATTAAAAGGTCATAGGGGCCAATTTAAAGAGGTTTCCAATGGCCAGATATGAAACAATTTGAGAAATGAAAAGAAAATAAAGATATTCAGTAAACAACTCCTTCTGAAGATCAGTAAATAATTTAGGAGAAGGGTCAAGGCAAGCATTTATTCTGTCTTTTCTCTATAGAAGTTCCACATGGTAACCAGAGTTGATGTGGAAAGATCTATACACAAAAGTGTTGGTGATCAAATGCAGAAATAATATTAGAATTACAGTACAATCATTTTATTAATCTTAATAAAATATCGAATCTAGGAAATGATTATCAGTAGCTGCTAAAAATTACCATTATGTGAAAGGCTGATGGGAACTTTATAATGAATGAATGATACAATACTTGAACCCACTGATCAATCTTTATTTATTTATTTAATTTATTTTTTTTTTGAGACAGAGTCTCACTCTGTCGCCCAGGCTGGAGTGCAGTGGCACAATCTCTGCTCAATGCAAGCGCTGCCTCCCGGGTTCACGCCATTCTCCTGCCTCAGCCTCTGAAGTAGCTGGGACTACAGGCACCCACCACCACGCCCGGCTAATTTTTTGTATTGTTAGTAGAGACAGGGTTTTGACCTCGATCTCCTGACCCTGTGATCCAACCGCCTCGGCCTCCCAAAGTGCTGGGATTACAGGGGCAAGCCACTGCGCCCGGCTCCACTGATCAATCTTAATATCACGAAAAGATATTGTGTGCTTCCTGATGTGATACAACAGAAAATACAGAATATCACATATACTGTTGCCAGAAACTTGACTCTGAACCTGATAAAGCTACTAGATCTATCTAACAGCTTACAAGAAATATAGGTGACTGAAGAACACATTAAAGGGAACAACAAGGCTTTAACCAGTAAAATTGAGACTGTGGGAAATTCTACAGCTAAAATAATCTGGTTTCAAACAACAAGGAAAAAAGAAAGAAACTGACGATTGAAAGATGTAGGGCTGGGCACGGTGGCTCATGCATGTAATCCCAGCACTTTGGGAGGCTGAGGCAGGCAGATCACCAGAGGTTAGGAGTTAGATATCAGCCTGGACAACATGGATCACCAGAGGTCAGGAGTCTGAGACCAGCCTGGACAACATGGCGAAACCCGTCTCTACTACAACTACAAAAAACTTAGCCAGGCCTGGTGGTGGGCACCTGTAATCCCAGCTAACTGGGAGGCTGAGACAGGAGAATCACTTGAACCCGGGAGGCGGAGGTTGCAGTGAGCCGAGATTACGCCACTGTGCTCCAGCCTGGACAAAAAGAGCGAGACTCCATCTCCCCTGTCAAAAAAAAAAAAAAAAGATGTGGACCTTATTTGGGTCAGAATTCAAATAAACTGTAAAAAACATTTATGACACAACTGGGTAAATTTGAACATTCATTTTGATAGTTGACAATAGATTAGTTTTTGTTTTGTTTTAGGTGTGATAATAATATTGTGGTTATTCTTTCCTTTTAGAGGACAAGAGTGTCTTTATCTTTTAGAAGGGTCAGCAAACTAATGCCAGTGAGCCACCCGTATTTGTACACCTAACAACCTAAGAATGGCTTTTACATATTTAAGTAATTGAGAGAAAAAGAATCAAAGGCAATCTTCTAATATGTGAAAATTCTATGAAATTCAAATTTCAGTGTTCACAAATGAAGAGTTATTGAAACACAGACATGCTCATTTGTTTATTTACTGTCTATAGCTGCTGTGCACTGCAACTGCAGAGCTGAGCAGTTATGATAGCAACCATATGGCCTGAAAAGCCTAAAATGTATTTACTATCTGATCCTTTAAAGAAAAAGTTTGTCATCCCCTATTTTAGAGCCACATAATGAAGGATGTATTTATAAACGAAATAATAGAATATCAGAAATTTTTAAATGATGTAGCAGAAGGAGGGGAAGATGAAACAAAAATAAGATACCTCTACTTTTGTGTACATTCGATTTCCATAATAAAATTTTAAAAATCTGTATCACTCTGTATTGAAGATTTCTCACACACACACACACATATGCACACAAACATTTAAAAATTCTTTCTGTTTTGGTTGGGCACAGTGGCTTACGCCTGTAATCCCAGTACTTTGGGAGACTGAGGCGGGTGGATCACCTGAGGTCAGGAGTTCGAGACCAGCCTGGCCAACATGGTGAAATCCCATCCCTATCTAAAAACACAAAAATAGGCCGGGCTTGATGGCTCACACCTGTAATTCCAGCACTTTGGGAGGTCAAGGCGGGCAGATCACAAGGTCAAGAGATCGACACCATCCTGGCCAACATGGTAAAAAACCCTGTCTTTACTAAAAATACAAAAATTAGCTGGGTGTGGTGGTGGGTGCCTGTAGTCCCAGCTACTCGGGAGGCTGAGGCAGAATTGCCTGAACCCGGGAGGCAGAGGTTGCAGTGAGCCGAGATAACGCCACTGCACTCCAGCCTGGTGACCACGCGAGACTCTGTCTAAAAACAAAACAAAACAAAACAAAACAATAAAACACAAAAATGAGCTGAGCTGGGCGTGGTGGTGGGTGTCTGTAATTCCAGCTACTCTGGAGGCTGAGGCAGGAGAATCGCTTCAACCCGGGAGGCAGAGGCTGTAGTGACCCGAGATCACACTACTGCACTCCAGCCTGATGACAGATGGAGACTGTCTCAAAATAAATTAATATTAAAATTAAAAAATTATTAAAAATAAAAAATTATTTTTGTTGGCTGGGTGCAGTGGCTCATGCCTGTAATCCCAGCACTTTGGGAGGCCAAGGTGGGCAGATCACGAGGTCAGGAGATCGAGATCATCCTGGCTAACATGGTGAAACCCCGTCTCTACTAAAAATACAAAAAAATTAGCCACGCATGGTGGCAGGCACCTGTAGTCCCAGCTACTTGGGAGGCTGAGGAAGGAGAATGGCATGAACCCGGGAGGCAGAGCTTGCAGTAAGCCGAGATCATGCCACTGCACTCCAGCCTGGGCGACAGAGCAAGGCTCTGTCTCAAAAAAAAAAAAATTATTTTTGTTTTTAGAGACAGGGTCTCACTCTATCACCCAGGCTGGAGTGCAGTGGCGCTGCAGCCTCCAACTCCTGGGCTAAAGTGATTTTCTCACCTCAACTTCCTGAGTAGCTGGGACTACAAGTATTCACCACCATGTCCAGCTAATTTTTTAATTTTTTGTAGAGATAGAGTCTTCCTATGTTGCTCAGGCTGGTCTCAAACTGCCTCTAGCAATCCTCCCGTCTTAGTCTCCCTAAGTGTTGGGATTACATGTATGAGTCATGGTGCCTGGCACATTATACAAATTCTTTAAAGGAATTAAGTTTAAAGTGTTTATGAAAAATGTTCCAAACCATTTCATTTATATTAAAAAAAAGTATACTTAGTGCACCGATTAAGCATGTCATTCTACAATAAAGAATTGTTAAGCCACACAGAAATCTAGAACTATCACGGAATCAGAAATATATACAAATCACAGAAAATAATATGCAAATATATTAAATACTCTTCAATAATACCACAGCCCTAAACACACTGCTTCTGGCTGGGTCTTTTATTAAATACTTTTAGTTTTCCTGAATAAAGCATTCATTGCATAAAATAGTTAAAAACCAAAGTCATGAAGTATATTCAAATTATATAGCCTCTTTTATTACTGAACGCTTTACTTTTTTTTTTTGAGACAACCTCCACTCTGTCACCCAGGCTGGAGTGCAGTGGCAGGATCTTGGCTCATTGTAACCTCTGCCTGCTGGGTTGTAGCCATTCTCATGCTTCAGCCTCCAGAGCAGCTAGGATTACTGGTGTACACCACCACACCTGGATAATTTTTGTATTTTTATTAGAGATGGGGTTTCACCACGTTTTCCAGGCTGGTCCCGAACTCCTGGCCTCAAGTAATCTATCTCACTCTCTCAAAGTGCTGGGATTATAGGTGTGAGCCACCGTCCCCAGCCAATAACTGAACAGATTGCTTTTTACATATATAAGCGTATCAACCTTTACTGATCACAACAAATTTTTAACCGAATTTACAAAACTAAGATAGCCCAAAAGGGTTTCCATTACCAAGCCACACCTATAGATAAAACAAAATATAATAAAAACTTGAGAAAATGGATATGTAAATTTTACTTTCAAAGGGATAAAACTTCTTCAAATAGAAAAATACCGAAGTATTATTATACTCACCAGTATTTTTGTGGCCTTTTAGAATATAAAGTGGCATTGGACTGTCCAGTGAGAAAATGCATATATTGTGGTCATTTCCACCAGTGGCAATTAGGCCATGAGGGTAGATGTCACTTGAGGGTATGATGCATACACAAGATACAAAATTGGAATGGCCACTCATACAGTGCATTTCTGTAAAGCCCCTGTTTGGACTGGAAAGACAAGATAATTAATAGATATATATCTGTACCCTGACTTAGCCTAGGACATAAACTGCCAAAGCACTCACTTTCATTTAGTGTCTAGACCAAACTTTAGAGTACATACTATCTTAAGAATCCATTGTTTTAAACTGAACCTTACATAATTCCTATGAACTACTATAGAGAATTACATTAGATTAAGAGAAGTTTGTTTAGTGTTTTATTGATAAGAATACATTGAAATAGAAAACCAGGGAAAAAGAAAGGGCAACAAATAATCATAACTGAGTTTTTTCTCAATCTCCAGGTAATTAGTGACTGTTACCCTAAGAAATCCCTGGCTAAATGAAACATAGGTGCAATTAAGATAATGAAATGTATTATTAAGAAGACCTAAATATAGTGACGACTTTTTCACATTACGAAGCATTGACTTAGTGCCCAGTAGTATGGTATAGTATGTGTTTCTACATAGCTAGAACACGGGTGGGTGTCAAATCTTTTGGCTTCCCTGGGCCACACTGAAGAAGAATTGTCTTAAGCCACGCATAAAATATACTAACACTAATGATAGCTGATAAGCTAAAACAATTTAAAAAAAACCCACCTAATACAGAAATATGTAAATGGCTACAGTATATTATATAATATATAATGTTATATGTAATTATGTGTATCAAGGAACACAGTACATTAATAATTGCCCTGGGATTAAAATGATTACCAATTTGTTATCTATATCAATCACTTAGCATCACTGCCTTACTTAACAAGTTCAACCAGCAGATTATGATTTCTGTGTGGAAAGCAATAAATTAGCTGCTGAGAGGGATAAAAAGAATTATATCCCTAACTCAGCTAAATCAAAGAGTTTGCAGTCTAGTTGAAGAAGATAAGACAAGTGCACATAAAGAGACAAGACTCCCAGATAGGCCGGGCGTGGTGCTCACGCCTGTAATCCCAGCACTTTGGGAGGCCGAGGTGGGCGGATCACAAGGTCAGGAGATCGAGACCACGGTGAAACCCCGTCTCTATTAAAAAATACAAAAAAATTAGCCGGACGCGGTGGTGGGTGCCTGTAGTCCCAGCTACTTGGGAAGCTGAGGCAGGAGAATTGCGTGAACCCGGGAGGTGGAGCTTGCAGTGAGCCGAGATCATGCTACTGCACTCCAGCCTGGGCGACAGAGCGAGACTCCATCTCAAAACAAACAAACAAAAAAAAAGAGACAAGACTTCCAGATAAAGACTAAACAAACTCATCTATTTTCACTTCCTTCCCAAATCCCACTAAAAACAATAAATAGTTACGTTTTTTAATAAAGCTTAATTAAACCCACAAGGCCAAGGAGAATGAAAAAAAAAAAAAAAAGACATGAACACAATTTGAATATTTAAAGCCTACAGAAAAGTAGTAAGGGCCAAAGGAGACCTGAGTCCTAGCAGACAGCAGGACAACTGAAGAACCAATTTACCAACAAAGGGCTTAAGAACTAGAGAATATTCTGGGAAGTCGGCAGAGTCCGAAGCACCAGGTATCTGTCTTCCCACCTAGACAACAACGGTACTGGCAGAATCTGTCTGATGTAACTATTATGAAACTCTGCAGTGAATTGAAAGCTTGCAACTTCCAGGGGAAGGCTTGGATTGTAAATTGAGGTTAATTTTGATCAATGCCTGCTCTTGGCACAGTAGCAGTTACCTACACCTCACCCTTCTAGCCCCATGGCAGGTAGCCATGCATCTGTTCCCGGAGAACCTTGCTCACAGTTGTAGGAACTAGGGTTGGCAAAAAGGATCCTGTCCTCCAAATATCAGAGATCTGTTCTCTGATCACTGATTGCCTGCTTTGATCATAGAGCAACAACAAAGAGGCAGGCAGCCATTGTTGTTGCACCTCCCCCCACTGATACAAGCCTCTACCTCTTGAGCTGAAGTGACTTCCAAGGGGATTTAAAAGGCTGATGCCTGGCCGGGCACAGTGGCTCACGCCTGTAATACCAGCACTTTGGGAGGCTGAGGTGAGCAGATCACGGTCAGGAGATTGAGACCATCCTGGCTAACATGGTGAAACCCCGTCTCTATTAAAAATACAAAAAATCAGCCGGGCGTGGTGGCAGGGGCCTGTAGTACCAGCTACTCAGGAGGTTGATGCAGCAGAGTGGCGTGAACCCGGGAGGTGGAGCTTGCAATGAGCCAAGATTGCGCCACTGCACTCCAGCCTGGGCCACAGAGCGAGACTTCATCTCAAAAATGAAATAAAATAAAATAAATAAATAAATAAATCAACTAAACACAAAAGAAGACAGTAATGCAGGAGATGAAGGACAAAAAAAACTTTAAGGCAGATAGAAAACAGACAGCAAAATGGTATCAGTGATTAATTTCAACATAAAGGAATTAAACTCTACAGTCAAAAGACAGAGATTGGCAGAAACCATTTTAAAAAACATAATCCAACTTGGTGCTCTTTTTACAAGAGACTCACTTTAGATCCAAAGACACAAATATACTGAAAGTGATAGGATGAAACAGGATATTCCATGAAAATAGCAAACAAAAGAAAGTAGGAGTAGCTATATTAATCTCAGATAAAGTTGACCTTAAATCAAAAAAAGAAAATAAGAGACAAAGAAGGATATTATATATTAATAAAAAGTTCAGTGCAGGAAGAAGATATAACAATTATAAACATTTATGCACATAATATATAAAACAAAAACTGACATAATTGAAGTGATATATAGTTCTACAATAATAGTCGAAGACTTCAAAATCCCAATCTCAATAATGGAGAGAATAATCAGACAGAACACATGTAAGGAAAAAGAGGACTTAACAAAATAAATCAACTAGAACTAACAGACATACAGAATATGCTGTGTGAAAACAAAGACACCTGCTAGAGAAAAAATACGGCAATACCTAGAAAAATTAAAAATAAAATTACCATATGATCCAGCAATTCCATTTCTGGGTATGTTCCCAATGGAAATGAAAGCAGGATCTTAAAGAGATATATGTACAACCATATTCAAAGTATCATTATTCACAATAGCTAAAATGTGACATCAACCTAAGTGTCCATCAATGGATGAATAAACAAAATGAGGTATAAACATGAAATTTTATTCAGCCTTAAAAAGGAGGGAAATTCTGACATATGCTACAACATGGAAGAACCTTGAGGACATTATGCTAAATGAAATAAGCCAGTTATAAAAAGGCAAATACTGTATGATCCCACTTATATGTGGAACTTAGAGCTGTCAAAATCACAGAGACATAAAGTAGAATGGTGGTTGCCAGGGTCTGGGGGTGGAAAGAATGAGGAGTTATTGCTTAAACAGGTACACAGTTTCAGTATAAAGGGAAAAAAAGAGTTAAAAGACGGATAGTGGTGATGGTTACACATTATGAATATACTTAATACCATCGAACTGTACACTTTAAAATGGTTAAGATGGTAAATTTTATGTTATGTGTGTTTTCTCACAATAAAAAAATGGAGGAAAAGAATTAATAGCACTATATACCTCTAGAAATGAGGACAAAGAGGCAGGAACTAAGATAAGAAAGACTAATCGAAAGTCTTCAGAATCTGAAGTGTTATGAAAAAGTCTTCAAAGAAAGGTATCTGGTAGTAACCAATTTCAACTTGTTCACTTCATTTTAGTGGGTGTTGTTTTTGTTTTTTAATATGCTTTTGAAACCATTTTATCAATAAGTCCAGAGGAAGTCAAAAGAACATGTTTTAAAACCTGTATTATGTAAACCACTAAATCTACCTGCTATATGTATCCCTTAGCACTTCAAAGCATAGATGTTTGTGTGCATCTTCCATAGTGGTCTGTGAAGTTCTTAATGGCAGAATCCAGATTAGGTTCTTTGTATCTTCCCAAGTCCCTAGCACAATGTTTTACATGGTTAGCATTAAGTACTTCTTAAATTGATTTAAAAAAATACTTTAGATATTAAGACAAAAAAAAGGCGGGGGGAGGGGTGGGCAGGCAGCTAGACAACCCAGCCAGACAACTGTCCTGCTAGCACTCAGCGAAAGTCTGAAGCTTTTTCTTTAAAAAGGTGAAAATCTTTGAATGGGGGCACATAAGGATAGTTGAGTCTTAGAGTGTGAAGAACTGGAGCCCAAGACCACCAAAACAAAACCCTGGAAACCACACCCTCATCCTCCAGGCAGCAGATCAGCCCAATATAATGGCCCTACCAGATAACTCAACAGTAAAACTCACAACCAACAAGCCCCATTCAGGAGCATAGATCTCCCAGGAGCTTCTTAATTCTCTACCCATAAGGCTGAGCACACAATAAAGATTACCAGACATCTGGGGAAAGCCTCCAGCATGAAATACAGTGATCAAAACAAACAGAGACGAGAAAAAAACCAATCTGGGGGAAAACAGACCATTAAGGAGAAAATAACCTAAAACATTTTTTAAAATTGTCCTTATCATCCTTAGAGGTGTAAGACATTGCAACCATGAAACAGGACGTAATTTCACAAAAAGTCAAGGCAACCTGCTAGAGATTATAGACAAGAAAAAAAAAGAGAAATTTAGAAAGCAAGTTCAGTATCTGAATAAAAACAGTTTCAGAAAAAAGAAGACAGAAAAAATAAAGAGAAAGCAGCCAAATAATTAATTGGAATTAATTGAAGAACATTTCCCAGACTTTATGGACATGAGTTTTCATAGTAAAAGGGCCCACCAACGGGCTGGAACAATGGATAGAAGTAGACTGCCTTACAGAAAGAAAAAAAATAGTAGTTCAAAAATCAGAATGGTTTCAGACTTCTCAACAGTAACACTAAAAGATGAAATAAAATGGATTCCATCACAATTCTGAAAGAAAATTATTTTAAAATTAGAATGCTACAACCATTCAAATTATCGTTCCAGTAGCAAGGCAAAATAAAACCACTTTCAGACTTGCAAGGTCTTAAAACATTTATTACTGATGCACAATGTTTCAGGAAGCTCCTAGAGGTTATGTTCCAATAAGGCAACAAGGAAGAAACCAACAAAGAGAAAGCTAAAGGATACTGACAGTAAAAATCCAACACATGAGGTTCAAAAAAGTTATTTTGTAAACAACGATGAAGGGAAACCCCAGGATTAGTTGTGCATCAGAGGTAGACAGACCAGGTCAGAAAGTTTGCATTGTCACGAAGAGGAAATTGTAAAATATCCAATGTATCTAAATGCCTTAAGAGGTGATTTGGTAACGAACAAAGAATTTGAAGTTGAATCAGTGATAAATACATAGAAAGCTAAGCAAATGAAAACCAAAATAAAACAATTATTAGCCACATGGAGATCATAAAATTGTTGAGGAAGAGTTATCGATTATTCCACAGCTTAAATTGTAAGAGTCAGAGCACAGAAAAGATGGATATGTGATGGGGTGAGTGGAACGCAGAAAGAGAGCCAAATTCTCATATTCTACAGTAGGAACTAATAGATTACACCTAAAAAAATCTATTAATATAGATTAATATAATCAGATCCTGTATCTGAAGATGTGTCTTCAAATACGGGTCGTTTTTCAAAAGGCAAGGCAATATAAAGGCAAAGTTGCTGAAGTCTTATCTCACTCATCTCTCCCTACCCAGAAGTCAATGACAGACAGACTTGGGAAATGTAATTTAGCTTGAAGTTAGCTTCTAGAGGTCTGAAGTAGTCTGAAACAATGGCATGTTGCTGGCTTAGTTCAATGCCCAACTAACAGATATGTCTCCATTCTGAAAGGTGTTCAGAAGGTCCACAGACTTTCCGGGTTTTCAAACAGCTTTTGTGAAAGACTAGGTATCTGGTTCAGTCTACTCTAAAACAGAACTATTTCTACCTCCCTAGAACTAACTTCCCCCATTATTCCCAGTCCATCCCTACATGAACCTTAGCAACAACATATATGGAAAGCAGTGGTAAATTTCATTTGCATTAGAGGTAGACAGACCAGGTCAGATTCGGTAAGAGGCAATTTGGTAACAAACAATGAATCTGAAGTTGAATTGGTGGTACTGATTCAAATTTACAGTGGTAAATTTCATTTACCACTTGGCTACATGGGAAAGCAAATTTCATTTACTACTTGGTTCCAAACATTTATAGGATTTCATTAACTTTATTAATATGCTGTTATGAGCTGGGAGTGCTGGCTCACACCTTTAATTCCAACACTTTGGGAGGCTGAGGCAGGAGGATTGCTATAAGCCCAGGAGTTTGAGACCATCCTCGGCAATCTAGTAAGACCCCCATCTCTACAAAAATAAATAAAAGTTAGCCGGGCATGGTGGTTCTCGCCTGTAGTCCCAGTTACTTAAGAGGCTGAGGTGGTGGGAGGATTGTCTGAGCCCAGAAGATCGAGGCTGCAGTGAGCAGTGATCATACCATTGCACTCCACCCTGGGCAACAAAGTGAGACCCTGTCTCAAAAAAAACAAAATGACACACATATTCTATTATGGCCTGAATGTGTCCCCCAAAGTTCATATGCTGGAAACTTAATCTTTAATGCAACCATGTTGAGAAGTAGGACCGTTAAGAGGTGATTCGATCGGGAGGGTTCTGCCCCCATGAATGGATTAATGTCATTATTGCTTAGAGAGTGGCTTTGTTATAAAAGCAAGTTTGTCCCCCCATGCCTCTTGCTGTGTGCTCTCTTGCCCTTCCACCATGGGATGATGCAGCAGCAAAGAGGACCTCTCAAGATGCCGATACCTTGATACTGGATTTCCCAGTATCCACAACTATGAAAAATAAATTTCTTTTCTTTATAACTTACCCAGTCTGTAGTACTCTGCTACAGCAACACAAAAGAGAAGACACGTATCATGAAATAAAAATTGTCAATATGTCAGACTTGAGGACACTTCTACAACACTAAAGGTACGGTTGAGACACTTTAGTTGGCATCAATAAGAACTTAATCACCTAATGACTATAAAACACTCTAACCCTGGGGTATCCAATCTTTTGGCTTTCCTGGGCCACGTTGCAAGAAAAATTGTCTTTGGCCACGCATAAAATACACTAATAATTACAACAGCTGATGAGCATTTAAAAACATCACAAAAAAGCCTCATAATGTTCTAAGACAGTTTATGAATTTGTGTTGGGTCACTGTCAAAATCACCCATGGGCCACAGGATGGACAAGTTTGCTAACGTAACCAGCTGGATATAAGAGACTAGATAATCTTATCTCACTACGCACTAACACTGTAACTGGCAAAATGCAAGTTCTTCATCGGTGTTAGATAAATACATACAGGAATGAATTTTGAAAAACAAAAACAAAAAAATCATGAGTTCGGCCAGGCATGGTGGGTCACACCTGTAATTCCAACACTGGGAGGCCAAGGTGGGCAGATCATCTGAGGTCGGGAGTTCAAGACCAGCCTGACCAACATGGAGAAATCCCAGCTCTACTAAAAATACAAAATCAGCTGGGCGTGGTGGCACATGCCTGTAATCCCAGCTACTTGGGAGGCTGAGGCAGGAGAATCGCTTGAACCCCGGAGGCAGAGGTTGCAGTGAGCCAAAATCATGCCACTGCACTCCAGCCTGGGCAACAAGAGCGCAACTCTGCCTCAAAAAAAAAAAAAGAAAAGAAATCAATAGTTCAATGAAAAACAAAATCACTTTTCAAATAGAAAATCAGTTCAGCCCAAAGTTCTTCAAGTTCCTGGTAAGTACAACCACTCCAGTGATTAAACTCTTGTCAAACTAGTACTCCCAAAAGTTTAATGACAGGATTCCACTATTAAAACAGGCATCCTTGACTATACTCCTTACTGCAATGGTTATATTCTACTGGGCTTATGCTTCTACTGGATTCCATTTTAAAGGTTAAAAACTTAATGACTCAAACAAAAAGTTAAATATTAGTGTTACTAAGTAGTTTTGGATATTATAGAATTTTAGAGTTAGAAGAGATCTTTAGAGATCATCTCATTCAATTCAATACAGGAATTTGCTCTATACTATACCTAGTCTAGTGGACCATCTTGTGTTGATTATACTACTTCAAAAGCCTCCAAACAAACCTACTTCTACACTTATCCCTTCCCAATCTATTCTCTATCATCAGCTAGCAGAAACTTCTCAACACGGAAATCAGATTATGTTGCTCCCTGCTTGAAACTATTTGAAGGCTTCCATTTGCAAACTCCATAACCTGGCTCTTGCCAGCCTCAAAGACCTGCCCTCAGCTCACAGCTAAATTCCTCCTGTTTGCTCCTCCTGCTGTCTGGAATGCTTTTCCAATTCAACCCTCCCCATTTGCTCTTCCACGACCAGCTCCATCCATCTCATGCTTCAAATGTCAGCTTTAAACAAACTACTCCTCAGAGAGGCTTCCTTTAATATCTCTCCACCTAATTATTAACTGTATGTTTTCTTCATATGCCAGTTTTTAATTATTTATTGGCTTGTTTTTTAATGTATCTTCCCCATCAGACTGTAAGAAAGCTCCAGAAAAACTGGCAACTTGTCTGCCTTTATTCCTCTCCAGTATCCCAAACAAATAGGAGGCACTCAATAGTTATCAACTGAATTTATGGATGGTGACTCAAATTCTGAAATTCCTAACAGTGGGAGAGCTACTAAATAACAAAATAACCTCAATTCTTCTTTCTGTGAACTGAAATCTGTCTTCTAGTTCTTAAATATCCTGCTACAACCAGCCAAATCAGGGCTGAGCCCGTGAACTCGATCAGGACTGATTCCTAACCTTTTTTTTTTTGGTTCGTGAACCTTTCTGACAAATCCTTTGAAGGTAATGAATGCTCCTTCTCCTCAAGAAACAGCACATGCACAGAAACAAAACATTCAAGAGGTTTCACTCCCTCAAGACCAGCACAGACCACAGACTAAAATTCTAACCTGAAAGAGAAGAGGATTCAGCAATACAATTTTTGAGAACTAAAGTCTTCAAAAATTAAATTTTAGAGAAGACTACAGAGCATCTTCTTCGAAAATAAAAAAGGGACATGTCAGATGTCTTCAAACTACCTCACTTCAGAGGGTGCAATTGGAATCAGTAAATTTTCAAGTCTAAAACAAACTTGGGAGATCATCGTCCAAAAACTGAAGGCCCAAAAGGTAGGAGACTGGTCTGCGGTCAAGTTAGCACAACAAGGCTGGTCTTTGGTCCCCCAAACCGGTGCTCTTTCCACTTAAATCTCGATGATTTCTTACACAGAGTTTCAGTAGTCTGAGAATTGGAAGGGAGCGGAGAGCAGAGGGAAGACTGGGGGGAGAGAGAGACGGCAGGATTGACAGGGAAGGGTCACTCTCTTTCCACTCTCCGGGAAGCGTGCAACACAGCCGGGGGCAACCTGGGGGCAACTCCCAGGGCTCACCTGTCTGGGGCCCAGAGGCGGGTGGTGCGGTCTCGGGACACGGACACAAAGGCCCCCGGCGGAAAGGGGCAGCACACCAGGCCCCGTACGTCCAGCTCGTGGCCCCGGAGCGAGCAGCTCAGCCGGTACCTGGTGGCGCCGCTCGTCATGGCCAGTGTCTGTCGGGCGCCTGGTGCCCGGGCACTGCGCAAGTCCAGTCCGTAGGGGCGACTCGGAGAGCGCCGGGCCGCGGCCGGAGAAGGGCCTGTAGGTAAGTGGCGGCCGGAGACCGGAAGAGCCCGAGAGCCGGTACGGAAGGGCGGCTGGGAAGGGGCGCGCCGAGCGGGCCGAGTGACACAGCAAGCCTGACAGGCACACCGGAATTCATCATCGGCCTCAGCCCTCCATGACGCAGAGTGTGTGCGTCCCGGCAGCTGACGGCGATGTGGAGCTGAGCTCGCTTTACTCCTGGGCTCGGGACTCCCCGCCGAGGAAGAGAGAAAGAGCCCCGCCCTGCCACCAGGACGCCCGACCCGGGGATCCTTCCCAAACCCAGATCTCTTCCGACTCCGGGCCCAACCGTTTGTCGTAATTCGGGACGCGGGCCGGGACTACAACTCCCATAATGCCGCGCCAGTTGGCGTGAACATCCAGCGCGCCGAATCCGGATATTTTAAGCCTGAGTTCTTCGCGCTGGGCTTGGCGGAATGGCTGAGTGAGATTGTTTGGTGTCTACTGTTAGGTCATCCTCACCTCTTTTCCCTGATAATCTCGAGGTTTTTGCAAGTTAACTGTGTTTTTCAATTAAAACGAGAAAGCTTGAGGCCAAATTGGGAACTATTAATCACTGAACTATTCCTCCGTTTCAAGTTATCCGAATCTCCTACCCTCTATTGTCAAATTTACAAACAAATACAGTGGTCCAAGTCAATTTTTTAAAGGTATAACTACTTTTTTCTGGCAACTTGTTAAAATGTAGATTCTGATTCAGTAGGTCTGGGTTAGAGCCGAGATACGTATTGTTAACAAGCCCCCCGCCCACCCACCCGTGGTGCTACTTGCTGGTCATTATCAGATCTTACTGAGTACCAGGGTCAACATGACCTGTCTCTTTACTTTGTTTCCCTCCCATCCGCTATTCTCTCGCATCCAACTACACTTTTCTACAAACCTTTCTAAATTGCTAAGCCCAATTCACACTTTTCTGATTTCTCCCCTCCTAAAACTCCTACTCTAGGTTTGGAATCACTTTTCTCCTGGTTTGGGATATCATTCTTGAAATGTTGCCTTTTGATACTTCTTTGCTACCATATCCCCTCCCTGGGTGGATTATTTACTACTTTGCTTATTTCTAAAGCTGTATTCCCATATTGTCTTTTCCAAACTCTAGATCTGTATTTCTAGCTATCTGTTAGAAATCTCTACCAATTAGTCTTACTTAAATTATTTCAACTTTTCTTTAGCCTTTCTACCCCTTCTCTCCAGCCAATCCTACACATTAAAATATATTTGTGAAATACACGCTTTATTGTTTTTTATCTGCTTGACGACCTCTGATGGCTTTCCATTTTTTGTTGTTGTTGTTTTTTGTTTGTTTGTTTGTTTGAGACAGAGTGTTGCTCTGTTGCCAAGGCTGAGTGCAGTGGCGCGATCTCGGCTCACTGGAACCTCCGCCTCCCGGGTTCAAGCGATTTTCCTGCCTCAGCCTCCCGAGTAGCTGGGACTACAGGAGCGCGTCACCACGCCCAGCTAAATTTTGTATTTTTAGTAGAAACGAAGTTTCACCATGTTGGCCAGGCTAGTCTCAATCTCTTGACCTTGTAATCTGTCGGCCTCTGCCTTCCAAAGTACTGGATTACAGGCGTGAACCACCATGCCCGGCTGGCTTTCCATTCTTACAGTACAGCATTACATAGGGCCTTTCACACAATCTCCCTAATCTGTTTTACTAGATTCATCTCCCTCTGTTTTCTCTCTTATTCTAGCCACTTCGAATTTGTCACCATTCGCTGAACACATTATACTGTATGCTGTCCACGTCTCTATGCTCTTTGTACATGCATTTTTTTTTTTTAACTTAGAATTCCACTTTCTCCATCTGTCATAGTTCAACACCAGTTTATCTTCTGGTTTCTTCTAGTTCCTCTGGGGAACCAATGCAGTTTTATTTGTTGTCAATATAGTATTTACTGCATTCTAATATATTCTTTTATGTCTGTCTTTTCTACCGGACTACATTTTATTATTATCAAGACCTTTTATTTCACATGAATCTTAACCATGTAGTTTACTGCCTCCTATATAACAGGAAATGTTTTTCAACTTTGTATAGTATTCAGTTTACCAATTTTCACAGTCTCTCATTTAGTTCTCACAATAACCCTGCAAGGTAGATAGTATTATTATTCCCATTTCACACATGAAGAATTTGCCTCGTTTAAAAAATGTTAATTTGGAGGCCATTAGGTTGAGATAGCTCCAGCTCTGGAGCCCAACTCAATGTAAACAGTAAAATGAAACTTAAGCTTAACTAACAGAAACAAACCTCTAACTATGGACTTTCCACTTTAACCAATCAAGTAAGTATATTTTCTTGGTCTTGCTTCCACCAACCCTTTATAAAAGTTTTCGCCTCATGCTGTAATTGCCCAACTGTGTTCTTACCTGCTGCCTTCCAAAAAACCAATGCACTGAGAACTACAAATGTTGCAGCAGAGAAAGATGAATAATCACAGGGCCAGCCGAGCGAGGAGGATGGGAGGTATTTCTCAAATCCACCTCCAAGAATGTAGAGGCTAGGTTTTTAAAGGATCAGTTGGTGGGCAGGAGGCTAGGAAATGGGAAATGCTAATTGGTTGGGTCAAGGATGAATCACAGGCGTGTCAGAGCTATCTTCCTGAACCTGAGTCATTTCTGACGAGTGGGGTTCACAGGTCCAGGTTGTGTCTGTTGGTCTGCCAAAATGCTAAATTTGAAAAATATCTCAAAGACCAGTTAATTAGGTTTCACAATAGTAATGTCATCTGTAGGAGTAGTTGGCGAAGTTACAAGTCTTGTGACCTCTGGTTACATGACTCCAGAGCAGGAGGCTCTATAGAAAAGCAAGCTAATTATTCTGGATGAGGTGGCTCCGCCTGTAATCCTACAACTTGGGAGGCCGAGGCAGGTGGATCACGAGGTCAGGAGATCAAGGCCGTCCTGGCTAACACAGTGAAACCTTGTCTCTACTAAAAATACAAAAAATTAGCTGGGCACGGCGGCATGTACCTGTAGTCCCAGCTACTCAGGAGCCTGAGGCAAGAGAATCGCTTGAACCTGGGAGGCAGAGGTTGCAGTGAGCCGAGATAGCGCCACTCTACTCCAGCCTGGGCGACAGAGCTGTCTCAAAAAAAAAAAAAAAACAGTGAAATATGAACTTCATCTTTAAGGATGGTTATCAGCTTCTAAATCACATTTGTCTTGCCGGTCCTGTAGAACATTACAGAAAATGTTTCAAAGCTAATACATTTCAATATCCCAAAAGATAATTGCTGTTTTCAAGTTTTTGGTGCCCAAAAAGGAGAAAAACATTCTTCTAGTGCTAATACATTTAGTAAGCTTTTTTCTTGGCTTTTAATAAGTCTTTTGTTAAACATTTAAGGACACTTTATCCTTTCTTTTCATATGCTTTGAAATATTGTCTAGATAATTACATAATTCATTGAAAGATGGCTAACGTGAATATTCATTATGATTTTTATTGTCCCCTTATTGAAAGTTTATTTATTTTTTTAACTTTTTTTTTTTTTTTTTGAGATGAAGTCTTACTCTTGTTGTCAAGCTGGAGTGCAATGGCGCAATCTTGGCTCACTGCAACCTCTGCCTCTCGGGTTCAAGCAATTCTCCTGTTTCAGCCTCCCGCGTAGCTGGGATTACAGGTAGCTGTCACCACGCCCAGCTAATTTTTGTATTTTTAGTAGAGACATGTTTCACCATGTTGGCCAGGCTGGTCTCGAACTCCTGACCTCAGGTGATCCACTCGCCTTGGCCTCCCAAAGTGCTGAGATTACAGGCGTGAGCCACCGTGCCTGGCCAAAAGTTTATTTTTAAAAAGTATTAATAATGCAGTCTTTGGTTTAAAATTCAAAAGATGTAAAGGATGCACATTTTCAAACCCTAACCACCCAGTTTTCCTCTCTGGAGGCTTCTCAGTTTCTTGTGTTGTTCCCAAAGATTGTTTATACAGATGCAAGAAAATGTTAGCATTGAATACTTATTCACCTTAGTTTATATGTCTTGGAAAACTTTCCATATTGTATGGGAAGAAGAAAACTTTTCCTCTACCCTGTCATGTTCACTATTCAAGGGCCTACGAGTTAAACTGACAAAAGACAGACTAACAGGAGAAAAATATCAATTTCTTATGCATAAAACAGCCAACAAAAGCAGCAGCTGGCTAGTCAAATGGTTAAACTTTAAGGCTTACATAACTAAGTAGGGAAAATGGTGGGGGAGAAACAGCTTTTACAGGGAAAAATAGAAACATTGACTTTTAGGAGAACAAATAAGAAAGTTTGTGTTCATCTATATGGTTAGGAGTGGTGTTTCCAGCTTCTTCAAGGCCATAAGTTAGGGGATTTATGGTAGCATCATTCCCCAGAAATTTTGCTTTTAGTCAGATAAGGAACTCTCTGGCGCAATCTTGGCTCACTGCAAGCTCCACCTACCAGGTTCATGCCATTCTCCTGCCTCAGCCTTCTGAGTAGCTGGGACTACAGGCACCTGCCACCACGTCTGGCTAATTTTTTGTATTTTTAGTAGAGACGGGGTTTAACCATGTTAGCCAGGATGGTCTCAATCTCCTGACCTCATGATCCACCCGCCTCGGCCTCCCAAAGTGCTAGTATCACAGGTGTGAGCCACCACGCCTGGCCAAAATATTTTTATACCAGCTCTGGGGTTCGTAGTCAGCCTCTGCAATATCAGTATACAAAGGGCATCGTTTTTTATAGATGGCCAAATTTCATGTGATTTTATGACTGTAGCATTATTAATTCAGTGTTGTTTGATTTTTTTTCTGTTCTTTCTCTGTAACATGCACTGTTCAAAGAAATAACCTTGGACAATGAGCATATGTCATTTATATGTATGAATTCAGTGTGAATATGTGCTGACTTCCTCGAAGTGGAGTTACTAGGTCAAAGGACATGTGCATTTGGATGTCTATAGCCATCTTCTTTCTTCTTTTTTTTTTTTTTTTTTGAGACGGAGTCTCGCTCTGTCACCCAGGCTGGAGTGCAGTGGCCGGATCTCAGCTCACTGCAAGCTCCGCCTCCCGGGTTCACGCCATTCTCCTGCCTCAGCCTCCCGAGTAGCTGGGACTACAGGCGTCCGCCACCTCGCCTGGCTAGTTTTTTGTATTTTTTAGTAGAGACGGGGTTTCACCATGTTAACCAGGATGGTCTTGATCTGACCTCGTGATCCGCCCGTCTCGGCCTCCCAAAGTGCTGGGATTACAGGCTTGAGCCACCGCGCCCGGCCAGCCATCTTCTTTCAATAGACACTCCTACCAGTGTATCCAAAATCTTAGTTGATGTACCTATTCACTAGTAAGTTCACTAACTTTTCTCTAT